TAGGCCTGATGCACGCCTGCCCTTCTTATCCACGAGACCGCCAGTTACCCTTGAGTTAGATGAAAAAAATAGCCGAGCCGGGACTGTCACGCGCTGGGAATTGCAGGTTTCATCACCTTGCGAAACGATTCTCATTGCGAGAGAGTCCCAGTGCAAGTTCGAGTCGTCTAAGGTTTGCGAAAACAACAGGTGCAGTGGTGAGTCTTGGGCCGATTCGTCCATTCCACGGCCTTGTGCTGGTGTTTCACAGCGCTTCTTGCCTCGTTTCTCCGGCCCGTCCTCTCCTGGGAACCAGGATTCCAGCTGCTCCATTCCGAGTTGAGTAAGCGCCCTGTTTATGGCACCAACTCTCTTCTCTTTCCAAACGGGGTCTCTCCTCCTCTCAAGCGTCCTTAGGATCCGTCTGTTAACCCAAGCGTGCCATTGGGAAGTGTCACGAGGGCACCTCAGACAGAAGGTGAAGAGCACGTTGGCTGCCTTAACCTCCTCTGAGACATCTAGTCCGTAGGTTTCCTGTTGAAAGCAAGCAAACCTGTAGTCTGATTCAAGTTGCTCTATAGCTCCAGAAATCACAGCGCAGTGCCCCACGCGGTCTTTCCGAGCATACGCAACCGCACGGAAAAAGCCGTCGATGTCAGGTCCCCCGATGAGGTCTGGCAGCAGATTGTCGTGAGCCGATTTCCCGTTGGATGGTTGATAGGACTTCCAAGTGAAGGCCCAGCCCGTCCGCTTAATCAGTTCGATGATTTCGGGAACACTGAGAGGAAGGTCTGGCAAGTCGCCGCCCAGTGTCTCTTGCCAGAATTCGTGCACATTGGCGTAAGCCAGGATCTTTGCAATCGTGACAGAGACGCAGTTATTACGAAAGTCATTTGGATTGCAAAGCGATGCACCGAAGCGATAAAGGCAGAGACCGAAGGTTGAGAGGTCGCCTGAATTGGTAGGCTGCACTAATGAGCAGAGATAGCTGTAAGCTCAAAGATGTGTGTCTCGCGGGAGAAAAGGAGGAGAGAGAAAAAAAAGCAGCAAAAAAAAAGAAACAGAGAAGGGAAAACAAAAGAAAGATGTGCATACATGAGCCGCCGGCACCTGTTCTGAGCATCGTTCCCGTCTTCCTGTCTCGGGATGGTATCGGCCGTGCTGTGTGACAGTGACGTTGTTTGCCCTGCCTATCCTCCCGCGCATCCGGGTCTCTCAACCACTTCCACCGTGGATTCTAAGCCCTAACCGGTGAAACTACGTTGTATCTTGTGCTCTTGGGATGTTGAGACTAGGAGAGTCACGTTTATGAATGGAAGCGGGAAACTTGTATTGGATCCCAAAATGGACGCAATTTATAAGCCCAAGGTGAATGAAAGAGACCACGAAAATGTGGTGGCGCAATGTCGTACAAACATGCAAGCAGGGTATGCCCAGCCCTAATCTGCGTTCATCGCAAACTGCGCAAAACTCTGACGGCGCACTTGCCAGCAAGGCTCTGCGAAAATATTGTCCGTGTTAGGGAAATATTTTCGGCTCGTCTTTCTTCTTTTCTTTCGTCGGCGCAATTCGCGCGAGTTCCGGTGATAAAACCGGGTCTTCACTCACCTGGCTCGGAATACCGACTGTAAGAACAAATATATTATTGGCAGAAGTCAATACGAATGAGCAACATTGGTCATGATGTGGAGCGTACTTTTCAGTCAAGTCCTTCGCATGTTCTATGCGTACGACGTCGGACGCCATCTACGAGTCACACCGATCATGGCAACCTTGAATATTACCGCAATCTGGCTTCCCTCCGAACCGGCGACCATTCTGGAATGTCGCAGGCTCCTGCCCTCCATTGGTGGGACCACTCATGATGGTTGTCACCTTTCTGCGGCAAGAAAAAAAGCCGCTATCGGCGCCATCCTAAGGTACTGCGAGAACTGGCTGGAATGGAGATTGGCCCTTCTCAGTCACCGATGCGGGTCAGACTTATACTTCCTCGGACACCCACTTCCTAGGCTCCCGGATGGTCCCCCCTCCCTCTCCGAAATTAAAGCCTCCAATCCTCTCTTGAAGCCCACCCGATGCTACCAGGTGCCTCCGACACGGACATCTATAGTTTCTTCTGGTCACCAGCCTTCAGGACCGCTTTCACTCGAGACAGATATCCCTTGCGTTAACCTTGCTGGTACAAATAACTTTGGATTTGAGGACATCAAATTTGGGACGCGTTCCCCAGCAAGCAATAGCGAGGCTATCCAAGACCGTCTCGCTCCACCAACTAAACGCAATAAGACAGAACCCGAGACTACGAGGAAGTTCGCGTGTCCTTTCTTCAAGCACGACCCGGAAAAATATCGAAAGTTTAAGCCGTGTGCCTGGACAGGTTGGTCCAGTGTTCATAGGGTGAAGTGAGTTACCCAGCGATGAAGTTTAGATTAAAAGGACCCTCACTTAACTGTGACCAACTGCGCAGAGAGCATCTCTATAGGAAACACACTATGCCGAAACATGCCTGCGAACGATGCCGTCTGGATTTGGGGTCGGCGGCTCATTTATCCGCTCACCGTCGTATGGAAACACCTTGCACGCTCGCAGTAGGGGAGCTGCAGGCCGAGATCGACCAGGCACAATTTGAAGCGCTTCGGTGCAGAAAAAGGGTCCATGGGAAGCGCGATATAACTGAAAACGAAAAGTGGAACCGGGTGTATACTATCCTCTTCCCCGACGACCGTTCTATTCCATCACCTTGTGAGTGCGTTTCTTTCTTTTTCTTTTATTTTTTTGCCAAAGCTGGCAGCAGGGAACTAACACCTAATCCAGTTCACGATGACTCAGATTACTACCACACCGAAACGCGGCCGAAATTCGAGGACGAGTGTTATAACATGCTCGATAATTTTGGAGAATACTTCCGCGGCGAATTATCCGGGGTTCTAAAACCGAGGCTGGAGCAGATGCTGAGCGATGGCAATCCCGTTGGAGATAGGATTGTGGATTTGCTCCAGGAAGTAGTTCAGAACATGCTTCTGTCGTTCAGAGAGGCCGGGGTCGGAGCTGGGATTGCAACAAGCCGGCGGCTGCCTGGGACTGCTCGAGCTAGAGGACGACTAGAATTCGCATCCGGTTCTACGGGTTTCGCAGTAGGAGATTCGGTTGATCCCACTTCCCGGCGAGGACAAGAACAGAGAGTTGCGAATCAAAATCCGGCCCAAGAAGACGCTATCGCCATGTTCCATGAGTCAGTGGTTGATTCTCTGCACGATTTTGATTTTCCGATGGACGACATGTTTAACATGCCTCTCCATGTTGGCGATCAACCATTCTTCGTTAATAGTGCAAATGAGGCCATTAACCTTAGCGCTCCAAATAGCTACGACGAAGCTGAGTGATCTACCTCTCGCTATAGTCATGGATTTTAAAGTAATTAATTAGCTTAATAGCTAGAGAAGTATAGACAATATTATGAAGCTAGTTGACGTTAAATAAAAGTAAATATTAACGCGGAGAGTGTTTGCATTAGACGACAGTATATCCTACTAGCTAGATATTTGACAGTGGTTGTTCGGACGTGCGAGTGTCTCAGTGAGCTGGGGTCCTAGGGAGGACGCGCAATCCAGCTTGGTGTGTTTTGTGTTATTTTATTCAAAATAGCGACGCTTGCCTTCTAAGGATAGGACTCTCAGAGTTCAAAAGGAGACCACAGCTTTCACGAAGGGCACAGGAGCGTGAAGCTTGCCACGGGGCGCTATGAGATATGCTTCTCCTTGTCGTCTCTCGACTATATCAGTCGACGGACGAGGAAACGCGCCTCCAATCCAAATTGACCAATTACATCTAAGTGAGTGTGTAGGAGTGTTTCTATGGCATCAGCTGAAGACAGGTGCCATCCTGTTCCTGGTGGGCCCAAGATCGGCGGGGAAAAAGCGCCTGCATCAGATCGTCGGTACGCACTATGCATACGCCACAAAAGTTGGGCGCTTTTTGACCCAGTGAGCCTTGTTCTAGGCCGCTATGGGCGCTTTGTCTTATCCACGTCCTCTCTAAAAGTGCCTTGGCGGGGTTCCCTTCTTCCCGCCTCCCCGATCGTCGTTCGCCTCCCTGACAGTGCCTGGTCGAGTCGCTCTCAGACGCGTCCCTCCCCCTCCCTTGAAAGGGTGGCAACTTATTCATGGTCGCATGCTCACCCCATCCAACGATAACTAGCCCAATCATCCTCGTCCACTTGCCTTGCGACCTTCCTTGATAGTGCGCCGAGATGTAACCCCAGAATCTCCCGGCTGGAGATATACGGCAGGCGCTTTTCCCAGCCCCTCATCTGGAAATGTGGTAAGACGGGCATCTAGGCCCCTTCGGATATGCCTTGACCCGGGAAAATGGAAATGCGCAAGCACGTGCTCCATGTTTTGTGCAACCAGGTACACACCTCCACGCCAATACCGTCGGTGTCCTCCTACCGCTGGCGGTATTCCCAGGTGCTTATCTTCAAGATTGGTACACATGCCGAGTCAGTAAGCAGGCTATATGGCCGATCACTACCTCGCACAGCTGGGGTACCCCGTCTGCCAATCAATCCCCAGATGAGCGAGCCTATTGCATATCGATCACCACATCATTTGCCGTGTACAGGTGGGGAAAGCTCATTACCCTGCCCAGTCTTACCCACCTTCTTATCTCGACCAGCCACCTTCCCGAAAGAGCTATACCAACGACCTGCTATCGGGCCATTGTCTCGGTACGGGTGTGGAGTGAATAGAGGAGTTGGGAGAGCAGTGATAAATAAATTCAGTGTTCCACCCAGCCTGTCCGGACCAAGCATCTTGGCAGACCCATACTGTCGCAGCTTTTAGTGAGAACCTGAGTTGTCCAACCCATTTCGCTGGCGATTTCCCTTGGCGACGCTAGCAAACGCCATTCCCGAGAGCTAATTTTAACCTCGCATTGAAATCCGTCCAGCCAGGCGCCGAGAAGCTCTCTTGTTTGCGGAAAATTCTATTTTGAAACCAACCCGGTAATTATCGCCATCTACTATGAGCGACGGTCTGGTGAGGCGAACGCCGCCGTCCCGCGATCCGGAAAAGTCAGATCTCGACCTCGGCGATGATTCCAAGGGTCTCGCCGAGACCAACATAATCCGAGATGGCCAGCAAACCGTGCACATCCGCGGTCTCGAGACCAGCCCCGAAACATCGCTCCATCGCGGTCTCCAGGCGCGCCACATTACCATGATTGCCATCGGCGGCGCCATCGGTACTGGTCTCATCATTGGCACCGGCAAAGCACTTGCTCAGGCCGGCCCTGCCTCGGTCTTTATCTCCTACGTCATCATCGGAATGGTGGTCTTCCTCGTCATGGCTGCACTCGGTGAAATGGCGGCCTGGTTGCCCATTTCTGCTGGTTTCACTGGTTACGCATCTCGTTTCTGCGATCCCTCCCTTGGATTTGCTCTTGGCTGGTCGTGAGTAATTCTTTTCCAATTGATGCCGGGGCAACTTTACTTGATCGACCATTCAAACAAATGTGTCCGAGCAGTTCGTTAACAGAAAATGGCAAACAAATAGTTATTGGTTCAAATACATCATTGTTACTCCCAATCAATTGACGGCTGCCGCTCTCGTCATCCAGTTCTGGGTCGATCGCGATCGAGTCAATCCGGGCGTCTTCATCGCCATCTTCCTCGTCCTCATCTGCTGCATCAACTACTTTGGAATCCGATTTTTCGGCGAATTCGAGTTCTGGCTATCTTCCTTCAAGGTCATAATCATCGTTATCATAATTCTCTTCTCTCTCGTCTTGGCCCTCGGCGGCGGCCCAGACCACGATCGCAAAGGATTCCGCTATTGGAACAATCCGGGGTACGTCTATCACCCGAAGCGGGGGAATGCGAGGAGGAAAGAAACAATAAGAGTACCGTGAAGCTAACCATCGCCATCAGAGCCTTCAAAGAGTACATCAACGAGGGACCGAGTGGTAGATTCCTAGGCTTCTGGTCTTGCATGGTAAACGCTACTTTTGCCTTCCTAGGTACCGAGCTTGTCGGCGTGACGGTTGCAGAGGCGCAGAATCCGCGGAAGACGGTCCCTCGCGCTATCAAACTGACCTTCTATCGGATCCTCTTCTTCTACTGCTTCAGCGTCCTCCTCGTCGGCATGAACGTGCCTTACGATTCTGAGGCCCTAGCCTTCGCCACCAAGGCCAAGCCCGGCGCCTCTGCATCCCCCTTTGTCGTAGCCGCCGAAGTTGCTGGTATTAAGGCCATGTCCCACTTCATCAATGCGTGTATCCTTCTTTTCGTCTTTTCCGCGTCCAACTCGGATCTCTACATCGCCAGCAGGACACTCTACGGGTTGGCTTCGGACGGACAAGCTCCGGCAATCTTTAAGCGCACCGATAAACGCGGAGTTCCCATCTATGCTCTCGGCTTCTCGGCTCTTTTCTCGCTGCTCGCCTTCATGAACGTCTCGGACGACTCGACCAAGGTCTTTGGCTACTTCGTCAACCTGACCACCATCTTCGGCCTCATGACGTGGATCTCCATCCTAGTCACCCATATCTTCTGGTGCCGCGCTCGTAAGAGGCAAGGTCTTGCCAACGAGGCACTACCCTACGTCGCCCCGCTTGGTATCTACGGGTCGTACGGCGCCCTTTTCATGTGCATTCTCGTGGCTCTGACGAAGAACTACGACGTTTTCGTCGGGGGCGACTTTGGCAAGGAGAAGTACAAGACGTTTATCACCGGTTATCTTGGAATTCCCCTCTACCTTATTTTCATTTTTGGGCACAAGGCAGTCAACAAGACTAAGGGCCTGAGGCCCGATGAGGTTGACTTTTACACTGGTAAAGATATTATTGATCGAGAAGAAGAGGAATTCCTGGCTCGTAAGGCCGCAGAAAGGGCCGCCAAGGGCCCTAGTCGTGGAGGGTGGTTCTACAGGGTGTTTATTTCTTGGCTGTTCTAGGATAGTGAGGTTCCTTGGTGGCTCTATGAACAAAATTCACTTTTGCAACCCAATGGCCCGCGGACCTACTGTAAAATCCCCAGTTCAGAATCGCGTGACAAACGATCGATAGCCAATCGCGGTACTGAGACAGCAGAAACATCACCTGCGGTCCTATTATGCAACGGGAACTTGTAAAGATTGAATTGGATGCAACCACGAGAATAGCGCCTCGAACCCAACGGTGCCTGTACCACACAGATGTGAAATGTAGTCTTCGAGGACCACAGTCCCGGCTGACGTCGTTTGCTCAGTATTGACTGTTGTGGTCTGTCTGGCCCCATCTCCCTACCCTAAAGATTGGATAATAAGCCTGTCCGCAAGCAAAGCAACAAAGAAATAGACAGTGGAAACGAATGGCAAATAAAGAAAAAGAATGAAAGCATCAGCAACAATACGACACCACACTTGCTAAAGGCTCTATGTGGGCCGCGCAGTTGGGGTCAAGCTCAATGTGCCCGACTTGGCCAAACGGGTGATACCCATAACGCGCAACTCCACAGTCGACCAAGCGCTCCAAGGCACCAAAGATACTAGCGTACACGGGCTCCAAGGCCGCTGCCTCGCCGGCGAGATCCGGGACCTGATGCATCTCGGCCGAAGTGGGCCTCATGTCGACCATCTACAGCCACCCGCGCATGTCTGTCATGCCATCGAGCGTCACGGCGTCGATCAGCCCGTTGAATGCTTGGCGGACCTTGAAGAACCCTTCCCCGGATTCTCCTAGGCTCATGTGCAACAGGTTACCCTTGTAGTGGTTGGAGCTTTTGGGCTTGCCAACAAGGACAACTTCTGGGCACGTGCCGTAGTCGCGGGACCACACGTTCGGTCGACCATCTTGGGTAAAGTTCATGCTACTTGGGACGACCTCCATGTATCCCGCTGGAGGGCCAGTGCGTGGCTTAAGGTTATCATGCTCAAGGTTTCTCTTGGACGTTTGTCCAGACGGTTTCCGGGCCGAGTTGCGGAACTGGGTGATCAATTCTGCGGCCCTTCCGGTTGGGGCCCGGAGCAGGTCGAGGATGCCGCTATCATCGGTACGTTTGGTACCATGGTTAGGCTTGCTTGTGCTCTTGGCCGCGCAGGCATTTTTGGTAGTGGACTTGCTGGTGCTGGTGGCGACCTTCGACGTCTTGTCGGGCTCGGAAGGCTTTGACGTGGGGCTAGGAGGGTCTTCTGTCTTTGGCTTGTCATCGGGCCCCTTGCTCTTGGGAGGTGGGTCCGGCTTGCGGTCCGGCTTCCTACAGGCGGCCTTGTTCTTCTGCACGCATCCTATACTAGTACCTGTTGAGTCGGGCGCATTATTGAGCACGCCAAAGATCATGCTGAGGACGTCAGAGTTCCAGTTGGGCATGTGGCACGCCGGACCGACCCAGCCCCCGAAGAAATTGGCCGCATCGCCGCCGTTCTCAGTAAAGGTCTTGGCGCCTTGCACGGCCAGCCTCACGCCATTGCTAGCGATCTCCTCCTCGATACCTCCTGGGACTAGAAGGAGCCCGGTCTGGATGTTGGTATCAAAGGCTGACAGGAAGACGGCGCAGAGGACATCGTCCAGCTTCTAGAGGGCCTCGACGACGATGTTGAGGAAGGCCTCGGCAACTTGCTGAATACCATCGCAGATGCATACGCCTGCGGTGGAGGGAAAGCGACGATGGGCAAATCTCTCCACCCACACCTACAGGCCCGCCCTTGTGTTCAACGTCTTTGCAATACTTTACACAAGGGCGCACACACCTCTGCGGATCGGAATGGTCAAAGTACGAGAAACGCGAGCCCGTTGTCTCCCATGCGGCTATGGTCTCGGAGTCGGGCTGGTGGTCCCGAGGCGCAATCGAGATTGAACCAAGGGGGACGATATGAGCAATGACAGAGCTGGTGCTCAAGGTCAGCAGAAACAGGGCTGAGAAAAGCGTCATTGCGGACTAAGTGGTGCGTTGGGATGTATGGACGAATGAAGTGGGTGTTAATGTGCATGATAGTATACAGGAGTTCAAAGGAACGGACACTTGACGTATCCAGAGGCCTTGTATCTTTGTTTCGAGGAAAGCCACGATGTCTAAATTTATTCACAGAATGAAACCCCCTCGTTTACAACCCAACCACGGACCGTTGTCTACCTCAGATACTGATTTGGCCTCCACGAAGTGATCTTCACTAAAGATCATGCTAAAGACCGCCAGTGCCCCTAAATAGCATCCGATAGGAGGTTTTTCCTTGGACAGTGTCAACTCGTTGGGGCCGAAGGTTGTAGGACACCTTAGAGCCTGCTTGGAGAATCCGTCAGTGCCACCAGTTGACAGTAGCCCCTCGTTAACTGGTAGGCAATAGGGTTTCTCTCATATGGGAGGACTCGCCCCAGGAGGAGCACAGGAAAACACATCACTCAAAGGACTCAACTCGCGAGTGTGGGATCGAAGGGGAAGGAGCGGGCGTTAGTACAGCGCGAACCCTGCAGTTTACCACCCACTGTATGCTGAACCCGAAGCCGGGTGCCTCTATTTTCTATTTTGAGGCCAATGATTTACAAAAAAAAAAAATAAAAAAGCCTACATTGAGCACTATTATAATCTGTCTGATCACAGGCTGGAGGTATTGTTGTAGTCTACGCCGCGATCGATATCAAGGAATCCAGAAATAGCAACACTTCGTTCCGACAAAACCCTCGTCGAAGGACAGATACTATTGTCAAGCAGCGACGGACAAGGGACGCCATTTCCAGCATTAGGTATCGAGGGCCGCCCCTCAAAGAGCCAGGGATGTGCCAATCCAATCGTAATGTGAATGTGAATTCGTGTGCATGAGGTCGATTCCCCCAATGACTGCATTTCTCCCACTTTCACGGTCATGCTGCTATTTTGAGACTGTCAGCGTGAATTCCATTACCCACGAAAAGAGAGAGGAACCTTCATTTTCCATGATCTCCAATATATCTCGAGCATGACAATTCCAATAACCCATGATATTTGCCTTGTATAAATTTTGCACGCGACTATGATCACTACAGAACTCCCCGGGGGTAAGGTTCACGACTTGCCCGAAGATCTCGCCGACGCCCTCGTCGCGGACGAGACAGCCAAGACAGCCTGGCTCGACATCACTGTGCTGGCACGAAACGAATTCATCTGCTGGATCAACGACGCGAAGCAGAAGGCCACTCGCGAGCGCAGGATTCGCCGCACTGTCGAGGAATTGAACGAAGGAAAACGCCGGCCTTGTTGCTGGCCAGGGTGCTCCCATCGCGAGCGTAATGGCCGTGAGTATTCCTTAGGATCTAGCTTCTGGACTTGGAGAAATTCTCACCCAATAGAACGATGTATTCGCTCTGTTTTCGGTCGTAGAGGACTAATAGTCGGGCTTTGTCTTAGGCTAGCTATGGCTTCAGTACGAACGGCGTCGAGGCTGTATGTTCTGGGTTGGGAAGCGAATAGCCTGCCTAGCTTGAACAAGCAAGAAGGGGGTGGTCTGGAGTGCAAAGGCTGGAAGACCCCGGATTTGGTCCTGTTATTAATGGGCTAACTTTAGATCACTCGTCTCCGTGATCACTGATATGGATACTACATTATTTCGTTTAATCTGTGCATCACGCATCTAATGACCCAACTTGGTTCCGTCCGCCAAGGAGAAACACTTCATAAAGAATTCTGTCTAATTTGCCTAAATCGCTTGAAAAGGCGCACGAATCATTTTATATACCCGGGATTAAATGTCGTTTACATCGGGACGAAGCTCATTTAGGTGTTCTTGACAGGAACCGTGCATTACATCGACGTCTATATATAGGCAAACGTAATTCCACCAGGAATCTAGTGCTGCGAGCCTGCGATGCATTCCATTCCATGAAGTCGCCGTCTGCACCTTTCTCCCAGACTATAACTCAACCGACCTCTCGAACATCGCATCCATACGAGCCAATCCCCAAACGATCATGCATCTCCATCTCCTTGCCAGCATCTGGGCCCATGCCTCTCTCGCATCAGCAGTGATTACCTGGCAACTTCAGAAAAGCCCAAACCCTACACAGGACCAAGCCGACGCATATTCTCGCATCGAGTCAGCCATGACTCTAGCCGTGGAACGGTACACGAAATTTGCCGTCCGCCCAAACAAAGCCCTCACAGTCCAGTACGTGCCGAGCGTCGCCACGGCGGATGGAAACTACAACGGCAACATCCGGTTCGGCTCCAACAGATCGTACATGAATGAACGGACGGCACTCCACGAGATTTCGCATACGCTTGGTATCGGTCAGACCCAGGCTTTCGATGCTAGATGCTCTACGAACAACTGGCCGTCGGCGACGGAGCTTTTAAAGTCATGGGATGGCCCGGCTGCCAAAATCAACTGCGGCGGGGGCCACATTTGGCCCTATGGGCTGAATTACGATGACGAGATGAGTGAGACGAATGCGGATCGTCACTGCCAATTGATAGATGCGATGCTGGGCGATGGTCTCTGACACATCAACGCGAATATATTCTCCCGTTATGTTACCATTAGCATTGCTCGGCGAATCGTGACCATGATAAATAAATGATTCCTATCACTGTTAGATGCCGAGAAGAAAGGGTCACGATGTATAAAACACCCCAATCGCGCGGCTCAGCATGAGCGAGGCGGAGGAGGATTGTCGTGATATGGCGTGTCGGCATCAACCGAATAATTATAGGGGTAATCCGGGGTCCCTATTTGAAAATGCTGCTCTTGACCTTTATTCTCTTTGTTACTCTGCTCTTTAGGATGCGGGCGAGCGTAGGGCTGCTTGGTACTATTAGCTAGCTCGCAAAGAGTCAAAGACCAACTTTCTACTCATCCCCGACAATCATCGGGGCGAAAACGCTACAGGTTAGAGGTTTGGGGCCCTGGGGATCTGGATGGGCCCGGATAATTCTAGAACTGTCAGCGAGCCTTGGAGTGACTGGGCCTTCGTCGGATAATGGATCTGTAGTCATGGACCTCGTAGGGAGAAGAGAAATTTTATTCAAAAAGCTTCCAAATCTAAAATGTTTAAAGGGTGGCATAGAATGAAGAGTTAAGAATAACTCAGGCATCCTCCCTCTAACCCGAACCGATAATCCAAGGTGATCGGAGAAATATTAACAGTTCGCCTCGGCAGCCATAGTTGATACCGCTATTTCGTTCATCATTTACCAGCACACTGCTTGCCACGACCGCCGACGCAGATTACACCTCCAACACAAACCCACGGGGGCTTAACCATGCTGGACACAACCGAGGAACTATCAATCACCCTTTAGCAACTTGTTATAATCTGTTTTAGGTTGAGTGCACAACGCCACTTCATTAATAAAAAACCGGCCCTCCCTTGACGCCTTCGAGATGCCCATATCGAGGCGAACTGCCGTCTTTGCGGAGCTAAATGTAGGCTCCTTTCTGACCTCTGCGAACCAGGTCAGGGCAAATCTTCCAACTCTTTATATTTGGCAGCTCGGTCACCACTAGACTCATCTATCTAGGTACTCCTTTTTGATGAAATCGGGTTATTTGGTCCTTGAAATGGAAACAATCCTTCCCTTTGAAACACCCTGTAGATCGGAGACAATGATCGAAACTCGCCGAGTGTAAGTAGCATCTCAATTTTTTCTTGATGAAACTTCAACAGTGTTCTGGAACTAGGCCTGCAAATTCATTGCATATTATAATATTCAGAAGAGGAGATACACGGTGACCAATCCACACTAGATTTCGAAACTTTTCGTGTTGTCATCTCGTTTGTATGGCTCCTGAGTATTCCGTCGAATCGATATCTTCTCAAAGACCAACCAGCATGCTATCACACTGGTAGTAACAGCCACGGTGGTGGCAAGCCATACTTTCCAACTCTTGTCATGATCTAGTTGAACTATATCGGTGCTCCAAACGGACTTGAATCCCGTTAGGCTACCTTATATTATATATGAGAGGGCGGGAACATACCGTAACCAATGTAGAAGGAAGAAAGACCAGAGTCAATACGCCAATACCTCTCATGATCCTGCTGTCTCTGGCTGTCATTTCAGCAATGCTCGACTGCCTCTTTGCGATCGCTATGCTGGTGTCGCTGTCTTTCTGCGCGATAAGGCTAAACATCTGTATCCTATCAGCAGCCCGGTTCGGTAGAAGTAAAAGGAGGAAGTGGAGGCCCTACCACATTGATCTGGCCTTTAAGTCTTTGGAGTAATTCTTGCGAACGGTCATCCATGGCTTCGCAATTCTGCGCTACTCTCCTGAACCTCCTCTCCAGATCCGCTCTATGTCCTTCACTCAATATTTCTCGCCCCAATCTAGCACGTAGGTTTTCGCACGTCGCGATAGTCTCCCTCCCGCACTTGGCGAACTTCTTCGCAACTCGCATCACAGTTTCGAAATGGCAAAGCTCTGTGTGTAACTTGTGAAGGACACGCAAAACCTTATCCGTGTCGCGCAGATCATTCTTCGAGCTGAGACCTCGCGGGGCCGCCCATTCGACGGAAGTCATCCCAGTGTCCGTCTCCGCCTCGATTAGGCTGTCCCATAGGCAGATAAACCACTCGGACCACACAAAAAATTGATTCTCAAACACCAGTGTGAGGAGATACAAGGGGTGAGAACGAAGTAGAGCGGCGGCTTTGGCGCAGGCGCAGTGGAAGCGCTGGGATACTTCGACAGATCGGAAGGAGAGAAAGGCTGTGGTGTTAAGGGTTTCAAGGTCGATTCGTATTACACCTATGAGACATCGACTTGCACGGATGAATCGAATGCATATAACTTGATCGAGTTAGGGGTGTTTTTGGATCGTGGTCCACCAATATTTTGGTGTTCAGTAGCCACATACCCAAGGCCTCAGGTTGGCTCCCATCCTCCGTATGAACGACCTCACTGGAAGCGTGAGGATGTCGTGACCGTAGAAATGCTCTGAGTTCATCCTTAGTCCCTATCCTGGACAGTATGGTGTCAAGAAACTCGTTGGACACGCTCATAGGGTGATGCGGAGAGGTTGCATCACCCACTGCGCTTCTGGAATGAAGGTAATGCTTAGCATGGGGTACTTTGATCTAGCCACCGAAGGCTTACATGATAGTCACTCCGGGGTCGCTTCTATCAGGGTGACTGTCTAGGTTTCTTCCCTGCTGTGTGATGCGAAGCGATCAGGGATGGACTCTTGCCAAGTATAGTAGAACCAAGGCTCGAAGGTTACCAACTTCAATCCTAGCACTGGCCTCCTCATCGTCGGTGAAGAGGGCCCACTCCTCCGGTCTTTCAATATCCCATATGTGAACGCTGGTCTTCTCGCACTGCAGTGGCAAATCGATCGCCGTATAGTACGCGAACTCGGTAAGCTTACCAACGTCGTTATAAAAAGGCCGGGGGTTGATCCTGGTATCTAATAGAGTATCAAGAAGAGCCATCTGAAACAATATAGCAATATAAGAACTGTGCAGTGGGTAGAATAAGGAAATCCCTCCCTCTTTCGAGGCAGCAAGGCCGCCCTGATATATTGCTCGAGACTATGCAGGAGCTGAAATGGCTCGCAGTTTTTCCACTTTATGCGCGGCACGACGAAGAATGTGGCGCCGAATCACCTTGCGAGATTGCGCAGTGACTAGTTCGCCAGCTGCAGAATATCGGTATCCATGCATGGCCCGCGAACACTCCACTCCACGACTTCACGCTGTAGGCATTGCGGAATGACCCGAACAGGACGGAGACTTAGTAGAATCTAGACGGTCCAGGCCTGGAAATCTTGATGATCTGTATAGGCAGGTGGTTACTGCTGACCGCAGATTAAATGTAATGAAGTTGAACAAACGCCCCACTTCCCGGTCCCCTCATTTGGCCCCAAAACAACCACACACCGCCATTTCATCCCATTCCACTTCAACCTCATATGTCTTCCCCATTTCAAATCCATTCTTCTCCATATTAAACATACACCTTTTCCAACTAACAATGAAGAAGTATACAGAAGAAGACAGGATGCCCCTGATGCCATCGCAAATAGCCTCTCGAATTATAAGGCAGCAAAGGAATAGGGTATTCCAAGATCAACTCTCAGAAACCGGATCGATGGCAAACAGCCAAGAAAAAAGGCCCATTGCTAAGGTGATTCAACTCAACAACGTGTAATAGGCGGTCACGCAGTGTCCCTTCCTTCTTCAAGTTAACACGCACCTGAGAATGCAAGGGCGATCAATAGTATCCAGATCTAGTCTATACAGTGTCACGGGCCGACCTTTATACAGGCCCAGAGCAGTAGAACCCACCCATCAAATTCAAGATCCCACTCAGGCTTCAAGAATCTACTACTTCCCTTATGCCATAGGTGCCCTAGTTTCAGAACAATGGCGACGTCAATCGTAAAGTACCCCCAGCTAATGCGAGTGACCCTATAAGGGAAGCTTCACCGGAAGCAGACAAGTACGCAGCATCGGCGTGCGCAGTGCACGGGGAGTGTCTAGGCTACCTGGCCACAGCAGATGGGGTAGTATAGCTCGACGCGTCTTGCGTAGAGAGGCTGGGACTCGTTGACCAGTAATCCGCCGCGGCCGCTGGCGCTGACGCGGACGGAACTTCGATATAACAATACTCGGTCAGGCGCGTATCATGACTGGCAACGTTGGCGTGGACAATTGGCATAGAACGGCCAGATGCGAGACGATCATTGCGGATTGGACAGGATGTGTGAATGAGAACTTCTGTCCATAAGGACACCATGGCGCGGGCTCAGTAGTGCAGAATGGTCAGACTTCGACCTTGGTAGGCGTATATTCCACCTCGGCCTTGCGCTTTATGATTCCGCACGTCCTGCGACGCGTGTGCACGATATCACGGGCAGCAACGTCATATTTGATCTGACGCGCAGCATCTCATCCACGCGGTGTTAGCTACCACCGAACAAGCCTCGCACCACCAAAACTCATCTTTGATTCGCGATTATGTAGATTCCCAGAATGCACATATCCGGTAGTCGTCGTTATTGGTGATGCCGGTTTTACCCTCTTCTCCGCGGCTGGCGCGCCTCCAAGGCTACCGAGGGACGCTGCCGGAGCGAGGGTGTGCCCTTTCGTTGGCGCACAACTTTCTCTTCCGAAAGTTTTCATACGCTCTGCCGATGGACAAACCGACGATGCCCCAGCGCGATTGCTCGTTTCGTGGAGTAACATTGGCGACAACGTCATGGATCGTATCGGTTTGCGGGGTTGTTCAAAGCCATGCTCATTGCTAGTCCGATGGACGAGGCCTCATTATCATTGCGAACGGGATATGCATTTAAGAGCCTAAAAACCATTGGCAGAGAGATATCACGAGTCTTCCAAGTCCTCGAGTTACCTGACCGAGGGATAGGGGAAACAACCACGTTGGTAGTGCTTACAATCGCTTGCACCAATGCGCCAGTTGTAATTCTCTCCTACTTCCCTTGTCACGGGAACATTGCACTTAGGAATTAATTTCGTCTGATACCTTGTGGGAGACGCGATACTGATTTGTAGAGCTGACTTGTGGCGACTGCTGACAAAGGACGAAAGCTCTCTTAATTATAAACGAACCGATTCTAGAAGGGCCCTAATAGACTATAACTTTGCAAACTTTTAACTAACCTATCCTCCCACACCCTTCCTTTAGCACGCTATAATAGAAAAAAAGGGAGTAAGAGCGAGAAAGCAAATCTACAGAGCTCTCACACATGCCTTACGCTATCTCCTAGGAAATAGACCCTTGAAAAATTTATCCTCTACTACTCTGCTCGGCCTCCTTCTCATTGCCCTGCTTCTGCACTGCGATTGCGAGGTTATTTTCAGTTAGGAGCGTGGAGGGATGCTTGGCGCCCAGCACTTCTGCCTGCAGCACAAGTATCTGCCGGTACAGCTGCTCAGCCTCCTTGTAATTGCCTTGATTTGACACTATATCTGCAAGCCCTAGCAGGCTATAGAGTATGTCGGGGTGCTTAGCGCCCAGCACTTCTGTCCGCAGCGCGAGCGCCTGCCGGTACAGCTGCTCGGCCTCCCTGTAGTTGCCCTGATCGCACACTATGTTCGCAAGGTTATTCATAGTCCTGAGTGTGTTAGGATGCTGGGCTCCTAGTACTTCTGTCTGCAGCGCAAACATCTGCCGGAATAGCTGCTCGGCCTCCTTGTAGTTGCCCTGATTCGACATGGCGATTGCGAGGTTACTTATGGTCACGAGCGTACTGGGATGCTTCGCCCCTAGCACTTCTATCCGCAGCGCGAGCGTCTGCTGGTACAGCTGCTCGGCCTCCTTGTAGTTGCCCTGATGCAACACCGCGCTCCCGATGTTATTCATGGTCATGAGTGTGGAGGGATGCTTGGCGCCTAGCACTTCTGTCTGCAGCGCGAGCGTCTGCCGGTACAGCTGCTCGGCCTCCTTGTAGTTGCCCTGATTCCACATTGTGTTCGCGAGGCTATTCATGACCCTGAGTGTAGAGGGATGCTGGGCGCCCAGCACTTCTGTGCGTAGCATGAGCGTCTGCCGGCACAGCTGCTCGGCCTCCCTGTAGTTGCCCTGATTCGACACGGCGAGCGCGAGGTTATAAAGAAGCCTTGACTTAGAAGCGTCATCTGTCGAATCACCTCCGAACTCCAACGCTGTGAAGACATGCGGAAGATACCTCATCCATACACCTCTGTTCTCATGTTTGGGAACGGGAAAGACATTTGCAAGCCGCTGTATCACCGCTGTGACAGACTTTTCTAGCTCGCGTTCCTTGGCCAACCAGTTTCGCATCGCCAGTCGAACCAGTCTGTGCATGTCGTACGACTCTTGGCCAGCTCGTTCGCTGATGAATGCATACGTTTTCAACAGGCCGATCGCCTCGTCCATCTCCAATTGGCCGTCACCTGGAGGGAGGAGATTTCTCGGGATATCTTTTTCGGCGAGAAACGACATGAATTTCATGTACAGGGCGGAGAGGTGGTTATCCCGGGATATATGGTGGAATGAAATTAGCCATGTTGTTGCAACTGAATTTTGGATGCTCTTGTACCGGCCAATATCTTCGAAATCCTTGGCTAGAAGCTTTATTAGATCGGCATCGCTCGACCGACAATGCTCTATATAGCGTGTTGTTGTCATCCCTGTCCGGTCCATGTAGGCGGACGCCTGCCTGATAGCAAGCGGGAGATCGGCCAAAAATTCGAGCAAATCCATAGTGCTTTTGGCGTCGCTCGTCTGCTCCGCTCTCAGATGTTTTTGCAAGAGATCGACGGCTTCGTCCCGGCTCATTGCGGTCACGCCGATGCGATTCGCTTGTCGGATGCTGAGCCTTCGGATAACCTCGTGATTCCGTGTTGTGAATAGAATAGAGCCTTTCCGGCTGGATGGGAGATGGTTAGCGAGAGCCGTATCACCAAAGAACAGGTCGGTGTCGTCGGCGTTATCCACAACTAAGAGCCAGCTGCCAGCGTCATCGCGGCTTAGTGCAGCCTTGACGAGTGTCTTGACGTCAGCCTTGTCTTCATCAATCCGTGCAACCTTGAGCTCTTGGCCGATCTTGCGGTAGGCGTTCTCAAAACTAGTAGTGTCTACTGCGGGAACCCAGAAGATGGAGCAGTCGGGATGCTGATCACGGACACGGAAGGCGGCTTCAATAGCGATCTGAGTCTTTCCGACGCCCCCGAGCCCCTCGAGGGCGGTTAGCTGGCAGTTGTCTTTATTGGCCTCCGGGGGGATCTTCGCCAGGAGCTGTTCTAATTCCTCGCCGCGTCCGACAAAGTCATCGTTGCGACTAAACGGGACGATCCAGTGGCGCTGTGAGAGAAATCCTACGACTATTCGGACTTAGTTTCGGAGTAGAGCTCGAGTTGGATTAATTAAAAGCTACATACTATGAGACGCTAGTTGCTCGGTAGTATAGAGAAAGCTGGGGATAGACCCTTCATTCGGTCGCCATTCTAGCGTCTGCGGTAGGCCCAGCGGGCCCCGTGCGCCTGAACTCTGCCCGGAAAGCTGAATCAGTCTGTTAGGGCCTTCCTGACTGACAACCTTGGATGCCAGCAATGCCCTAACTACTTGGTTGACCTGTTCGGATATTATGTGTTGATTAAGGTATTCGGTCGTGAAGGTGCGCACATTGGATAGTTCCTTCCACTCTTCCAGCCCGATGCCTTGGAGACCGCGATCGACGCTGAAGCGGAAGTACGTATCCTTAACGTTTTGAAACCGCCCGCGTATCTTCTCTGCCATCGTGTCCGACTCCGTTGCCATGTCCTTAAGTGCACTGATCAGCTTGACCGGGCTCGTCTTTGGCGAGTCTGGAAAGGCGATGACGTTAGCGACGCCGGTTCCTACGCTGACGACGCAGGCGACCTTCCGTCGAGGGAAGATGCGCCTCGCCTCCTCCAACACCTGTTCGACCGGGTTGTTGTAGCCGAGTCCGCCATCCACGAACGTCTCCTGCTCGCCGTCGTCACCTATTTTGATGGGTTCGAAGTACGAAGGCGCCGCCGAAGTTGCGCGGCACGCCTCCCAGATCGTGCAGTTGAAGGAGGCGTTCTCGCGCACCCTGTAAGTCCTGAACATCCGGGGCCCGGCACGAGACTTGACGTCTTGTTGCGGCACGGCGCAAACGAACCTAGGGACAGACGGATCAGCTGGTCGCTCAGACAAGAGGCTCCGATAACATACACTTTACAGCTGCCATCTTTCTCCAGCATTTTCTCCTCGCTGCGATCGTTCCCCAGGAGCCGCTTTACCGCCCCTTCTAGCTTCTGGCCGTCGAACGTGTTTTTCTTGAGGTACCTCGGAAGGGAGAAGACTTCCTCTGCAATGCGGACGTATTCTCTCCTAGCCTGCGGCACCGATCGGCGCAAGCGCCCCAGTAACAGCGCAATCAGGCTGCGACATGATCGGGATTAGCTGGGGCCTAGACAAGCGAGCGCGATCGTGATCTTACCCTCCTGTAGATGTGCCGCCGATAAGGTCAAAGAAATCTGCTGGGAGAAGATCTTCGTCTACATCAAGGTCGTATTTGATCCGATTCATAATCTCCTCGAGGACCACGAGCTCGGAGAGGCCGCGGATGCCCCCGCCGTCTGTGCAGCTGTCAGTAATGGGGGCAACGACGGCAGATCAGTCCATAAGCTTACCCAAGGCTAGCAGGCACAGTGGCTTGTCGTCCATTTATCTGGAGAATCTCGAGTCGGCAATGAGAGGACAGTATCTTCTGCCGAATGCAGGCTCTCGCTGAACGCCAGATGATGATGAAAGAGGAGCAGAATGCCGCGTTTTGAGGAAGAGGGAGGGCGCTCCGATGATTTACCCCGCACTGAAGTACTGCAGTAAACTGCGCTGTCGCGCGTTTTGTCGAGACCGCTGATAGGCGGCTTCCTCCGCCACATCACATCTGATCTGGCCTTCGACAATTGGACAGAGCGGCATCTAAGTGGCCTGGTGACTAGGCCTCAAGGCTCGCGCGTTGGCCTGGATGCGTGCTTCGCCCACCGTTGCATTCAATCAGTTGGTGCATCGGCTTTGCCCTTCCGGGTCAGTCGAGTGTGTCCCAAACTCGACTTGCTCGATGCGGGGGAGGGTAGGCCAGAGAATGAAATTGTGTTAGTAGCATCGACTACTGCGGTAGGCGTTCGTGCAAAGTCCCAATGCGAAATGTCTGGTGGGGAGCCTTGGTCAGAAGAGCAAGGCAATTACTCATGCCCTGCACCCCCTTGAGCAAGGGACCAGCCTTTTCAGCACAGGTCCCTAACCAGTAAGGCCGTGATATTTAGCTGGTGGTCACCCAACCAACAACTTGCTTCTCACATGCTAAGGACAACTATATATCTACGCGGTAGCTCTTATACTCATGCCTTTAGACATATAGCTGGTGTACTAGCAAGTGTACCACTTTTGTTACAGGAACTAGGTGCCACATAAAAGGAATGCCGCCCACTGGCGCCATGTTAAGTAGAACTTAGAAAGAACAACATCTGAACATCATTATCTTACAATTATTATTATATTGGCCATTCGCCCATCGCGCCTTCCATCGCGTAACAACTTTAGTAGCACCTTACCCAAGCCCAGTACTATACTATTGATACGGAGCAGTGCAGCCTGCCCGCACACCACATGAAACAAGAAAGAAACAGTTGGTCAAATGGGTCTAGATCAGTTCCTGCAAGAAGCTGCTGCAATTCCGCCCGCAGGAATGGCAATGGAACGTCGGAATGGTTGATCAACAGGAATAGGGCCGTATCGCAACCATAGGAGGCTTCCAAATAGGGGGAAGCCAGAGATCATGAAAGTGTCAAATAGGGGACACTTACACACACAAAACAATAGAAGAACTGTCCGGAGTCACCACACAAGATGATCCATGAGAAATGATAATAATGAAGTCAATTAAAAGAAGAACTAATGACTGTTATGCTTGAACTTTTTTGGAACTTATTTAAGAACTTTAACCTGTGAGAGAAAGAAAAGAAAAGAAATAACCATGGCCCTGGACCATGGCAAGGAATAATGTTTTTCCACCCTATCCTTGCAGTCATGTGAGAACGTCACCTATTTCACCGCAGTCACCTTTTTCCCCGTCACAATAATATTTAGTTAGGTATATATTATAATTAGTAATATTAATATAGATAATTAGTATAGAATAAATATAAGATGATTATTGAAGATTGGATAAGATATGTAAATGAGAACTTCTGTCTAAGAATAGGGGACTAGACTAGTTTATCTTTAAGAGAATATAGTTCTTTGTAGAGTAGTTATTATATTATTTATCGAATTCTAAAGCATTGTTTGACATTTCAAGCACACTACGCACCGACGCGCGGCATGACAGTAGGTCAGTAGTAATCTTACAAAGCGATACCAATTTAATACCAGCCCCCCTTCTAAAGATTGTAACTTAGTGGTATCAGGAGTCTTAAAGGCTCCTTGCCCAGGATTTTACGGTAGCTCCGGCCATTATTTCTGTCATGACTAAGGGGGTTGATACCGTCGGTTGAATGGGATAGCTGTTGCCTAGTAAGTACGTGTATCATGTGCGGATACTTAGGATCATGCAGCTTGCGGATCTCGAATTTCCCGCCTACCAAAATAGAGTATCCAAGCCCACGACTCGACGCATCCCGCTTTACGTGGCTATGTTCAGTGGGCGCGGGGGCAACCCCTCGCTACCATCAGTAAGAGAGTTGTGGAGTGAGCCGACCGCGACTATATCGACGATGACCCGAAACCTCGCATCTCATGTCGTCCCGACGGCACGACTTTCCAGCCGAGGTAGGATCAAGTCTATTAATAGTTCCGCCCTGGTGATCATCGTATCGCGATCCTTTGGAGGATATCGCGCATTTACAGCCTCGACGGGAACGCAGATTGAAATTGAGGGGCGGTGGTTCAGCGGCACGATGAGGCTGTAAGTCTTCCTTTTGGCGAGAACGTAATCAGGATCAGAGGCAGTTATCGATGATTGATGGATTTTGCACGGGAACGCGTATTCCCACGTCATATCCACGCTCCTTTCGCCTTGGCTCTTTCTACACGCGGGGGGGATTCATGGGCAAGGCGCAATCGGATGTATCGGTCCAGCGACACTCGATAAGCAACTCTTGATGATGAAGAGGAGACCATGGTTATCCGGAGCATCACACGAAGCCATGATGGGTATAAATATGACCCCATTCCTCCCTTTCAGAGTCTTCAATCTCCAAACCAAGCAGACTAAACAGACCATCCAGTACTACCCATCCTCCTACATTCTCAACCCCCTCTTCTTTTAGAGTCCCAAGCTCATCTCCTAGAAAGCCAAAATGAAGGTCATCGCTGTCGTCACCGCCCTCCTCGCCTCCGTCGCCATCGCGACTCCGCTTGCCGGCTCCTTGGATTTCAGCGTCCTTGAGGCTCGCGGATTCGGCGACCTCGTGAAGCGGGGCTGTCTCTACGACTCTTGCTCGGACTGCTGGGGTGCCACGCCTCCTATCGGCAGTGCCCCTGGTTCCCAGGGATCAGCCGCCGGCCAGTGAGTAGATTGGATAGAAGTGCGGTTATCTTGTGACAGTCTACTAACCTAGGGATGCGCCCTCTAGCTCCATATATTGCGCCGTCATGTGCAAGTGTAAATAAGAGGCTCACATCTTCGATGGGCCTCGCTGGTGGAGAGAACTTTGGCAAAACAAGTGCGAAGGAAATCTCCGCTTCTCTTCACGCGACCCGGATCCAATCGTCACCGGACTACCCCTTGTCTGCCTTCGTCCTTCTTTCATCTTTCAAAATTTTTTTTGTTCTACAATTCTGCGACACAGATTGTCAAATTATAGAGGACGGGTTCCTGATTTAGCTGTTGTGGTTGGAGTCCAAATTTCAGCATCGTCGACCTTAACTTCGACAGCTTGTGAAGAGGAATGAGTTACTAAGATTATCTACTCCTCTAGATTGGGATACTAGGCAGCTTAGAATCACGTTCTCCCACTATTTTGAGCCACGCAATATAATGGATGAGCCCTTGATCACATACACGATCATCGCTGGTGCCAGCCCATTTATTAAACTGAAGATTCTACTCGCTTAAGACTGCCTTAGGATCGTACGACAGTATTGGACATGCTTATGTATCAGTTGCCTGAACATGATGGCCGAGAGCTAGCGAAATCATTGTTAATGCCGAACAGCAGGGGTGATGGAGAATTGCATCTCGACTTTCATGGCATGAGGCCGAAACTAGGTAGTTTCAATTCTTGGTGGAACTGTTCCTTCCGTGCACTCAATTTGCCCGCTATAGATGCTGTATAGTGAGTTCTCTTGTAACGGGCTAATGACTTGATCAAGACGCTCGACCTACTTTCATTGCGCTTCCATCACTAGCTGTCGCACTAACCGGGACACGAGCTTAGGAATACATCCGACGAGGAAGCTTCCATCTTGGGAACTCAAGGGTCGTGAGGAATCATTATATGATAGAGAAGAACCCCTAGGAATATCCCTGGGCAGCTCGCTTCCTGAAGGGGAAATTCGGAGGGAAGGAACTTCAGGAAGCAGGTGGTAGTCAAGGTAGTCACCGGAACGAGCAGTTCGACCCCGATGAGATCAACTTGGACGAATTCCGGATTCGCAGAAGCAAATCGGAGGGTAAAATCCTCAAGTCATGTTTGCTATCCCGTGTGCGTGTTTCGATGCCTTCTCGCTGTGTAGACCTGCATCTTGGTAATAAGTATTATGGAGCGATAGTACGTCCAAAATATCGATCAATACAGAATTATGGCCTGTTCTGATAACAAGATAGTCCAAATTCAGGTCCGTATGTGCTAACCCGCAAGAATGAAGAGAGTCAATGCCACGAGCAAGCCGAGTCGCCCACACTCGCCGTGGCTAGTTTTCCGGTTACGCTTTTTAAGGGGTTACTTAGTGTCTCGTTCGGGTGGCATACGATGAGGACTCCTCTCGGAAAACTAGCATCGCGAACACTAGCCTATGCTTAATAAGGGTTGGTGGCCAACTAACTTCTTAGTTCCTGCCTTATGACGTTCGTTTTTCCCTGCTCGTCAAGGAGCCGACGGCGAATACGTAAGCTATGTCAGCCTTTAATTTTGCAGCGAAAAATTTTGCCATTGAGATTTGTGAAGGAAGCCAGAGCAAAGCAACGTATGTGTCAGAGATAGGGCGGGACACCGCCGGGAGAGTCATCATAGCACTCTCCGTGTATCGCCATTCAGGGACCCATGGCCCTGAGTGCTACTTGTAGAGGGAGCAGCAAACCAAACTGAGTGGATATGTACAACGGAGCCAATGGCAGGCACGAGCAACCAGTGCTCACGGGGAGAAGGACTGAAGCCTCTCAACACGAATGCTGCGAGTAGGGATGGCTTTTTTGAGATGTACGAGGGGGCCGAGTTCGACGCGGGGGCCGCGATTAAGCGGCTGGGGGTTATCATGTCGAACTCGTTCACAGAGCATCGCGAGCCGTACAGTCCACTTTCAGAATGTCCGATTTGGAGGTAGGATGAACTAGAGGAGAGCACTCGGGCCCGAGACCCTTGTGGGTCAGAATGGCAGGACGAAACCGGAGAAGAATCGGGGGAGGCGGACGACGACGGTGGACGTGGGCAACGCCAGGATAGGCGACGCGCCCTTGAAATTCACTGGCCGGCCCGCCCTGGGGATTTGGCTAACGGTGGCGAAGGGCGAAAAAAGATTTCAAAAATATACAAAACCGGGGATTCGCCGGTCGTCACCGACCCAACCCATGCCGCGGTATCTCCAGAGAAAGACTGTGAAAACTCAATCCCGTATTATTCTAGAAGTCTAACCTAGGTTATCCCATCATGTGGAGAACTGCCGTGGTGTCGTTTCCCAAAATCCCACAGAGTTCGTAACAACCGGTTTGGTCTTGTCAGACACTGCGTAGTTGGTTATAGCTATTCGGTTTGATTGGGCCAGACTGCCTATATAATGAAGACAGAGGTGGAGAAGAGACTATGAGGAGAGAACCAGAGTTTAGGTGGATGACCACTCTTACCCCTACACTGATATTCCATACCTTAGCAAGACCGCTCTACCGACCTACTTACACACTGCGCTCAGTTACTCTGTTCTAAGACCGTATCGATAGTTACAATATCCGACTTTCTAACCCTTTTTTAAAACAAACACCCTCCCCCGCAGACCACAAGGATTGAGCCATGGTGTCGGCCGAATGGTGGAATAGTCGAATATGGAGCAAACAAAAGCCCTGGCAACGGACTGTCTATATGCCCAGCCATATTTCAATCCACCGTTGACCGCTAACATTATACCGTGAACTTCTGTCTGAGGCCAAGGGAGGAGGGTGTCAGCTGGCCTTACATTTCCCTTTAAATGTCAGAAGGCAGCCGCTCGTCGAGAAAAAACGGCTATTAGAGCTATACATGATGGACCGGTAGTTCTGGATGACGTTGGATCCAGAGAGCTTCATCATGTTGACGGTTAGGCAGGCCAACAATGTACGACGGATATACTTCCGAGTCCAGAGGTTATAAAAGTTAGTCATGGTCTTCTTGTTTCGTTCTAGCTGAATCTGACTGCACATCTCGGCGAATTCGGCCTCGATGACATCAGAGCCACGGTGGCTAGGGAGGGAGTACATGACTGCCTTAGCTTCGTCGTATCGTTCTTTCATGTCCACTAAGGATCAGTTAGGAGGCGATTAGACTTTCTACAATTTTCATTGGCTTTCTAAGAACGGGGATAAAGGAGCCCTAGAGCGAAGCAGACTTACACCAACAAGGCGAGTACGGCAGGATGATGGTCAGAAGTCCCAGCAAGGCAGCGGGTGGTATCTGTGCGGCCAGGGGAAGACGCCATTGAACATCACCAACGGCGAATGACCCCGCGTACCCTACCCATCCGGCGGCGAAAAGCCCGAGCGTATTCATAAGCCCCTTTAAGCCGACGAGAAACCCTCGATTTTCTGGTGGCGAGAGCGCGGCCAGGTAAACTGTGCGGTTGGGTAAACAATGCCTATGGAGAAGCCCGAAAGTGCGCGACCCACAATCATCATGGCCGGGTTCTGCGCAGCAGTTTGCAGTACAGCACCGACAACCCTGACTACAAAGCCAAGGAGCAAGGTCCATCGACGGGATATCTTGTCGATAGAGGAAGCCGAACCGGCGCTACCAAAGGCGGAAACGATACCGGCTCTCACAGAGGCACTGTTTGTGCCTAGGCCGTACATGTAGGTCTTAAATGTGTCTTGGGCAATGGTCGACGCAATGATTCCAGTATCGATATCGTTTACAAACCTAAGTGGAGTTTTCGAGAATTAATCATCCATACTCGAAGGAAAGGGCTGCTAGCTACCTTGAAGCTCAAGAGCTTCAAATGACTTACCCTGCAAGACTTATAGCTAGGCCGATCCAGATGGACCTGGCCGAATTGCCACGATGCCCAGCAAGCCTTTTCGCCATATTATGAGTTGTTTGATACCACGTTAGAGAGCCGAAAGTATTGACACCTCCCCTAGTGAGGCAATCTCTTCATACTCAACCAGCACATCTATCCTCCCTCTTTCCCAACCACTACCCGACCCAAGCAAAGCACCATGGTAGCCACGATGGCCCAACGCCTCCAAGGTAAGACGATACTCATAACCGGCGCCTCTTCGGGAATTGGCTAGTCCCCCGCATTCGAATTTGCCCGCACATCTCCTCGCGATCTCAAGCTCATCCTGACAGCACACCGTATCGACACCCTCAAGCAGGTTGCTTCGGAAATTAATCAGGAAGCCGGCGATGGTGTGAGGGTGCTGCCGGTTAAGCTGGGCGTCACCAATCCTGATGAAGTGCGCACGTTCGTAGAGAAGCTTCCCACGGAGTTCCAGGAGGTCGATGTGCTGGTCAACGACGCGTAAGTTCTTCACTATACGTCCTTCTTCTTCTTCGCCACCCTCGCATTTGTGCCTCGATTGTGGAGGGTGACGGGCGTCTCCGACATCAAGGCTACGCGATGTAGAGAAAGAAGCAAGCTAACCACTGAGATGGGACTGGGGAAATACAGCGGTCTAGCGAAAGGCGTAGCCAAAGCACCCGAGATCGCAGAGGATGACATGAAGGTCATGTTCGCGACCAATGTGACGGGTTTAATCAACATGACGCAAGCAATCCTCCCTTCCATGCTCAACCGCAACAACGGTGAGGGCTCAGGAGACATCATCAACGTTGGCTCTATTGCTGGCCGTGAGCCGTATGTCGTACGTCGGTGGTGGTATCTACTGCGCAACCGGCGCCGCTGTCCGCTCTTTCACCGACAGTCTACGAAAGGAACTGATAGCCCACTTCTGACTGAAGAACTCAGCCGTTGCTCGTGGATATGTGTGACAGTATTTGCTAGCTAAGGCTTCTTCCTCTATTCCCCCTTCCTGCCTTGAACTACAGTGGTTGATATTTGTTTCACACTTGCTAACACTAGTTTCAAGTTTCAAATAATAAAGAAGACCAACTCTCTGGTATTGGGCTGGACATGCATCGCTAACTCGGGTGGCAGCCGTTGACAATTAATATCGATATCCCGGATTCCGAAAAGTCCCTCAGCAACTAAGTCGTTATCGAGTGCGTCGAAGTGAAAACTCACAAACTCTCCCTCCCTCTCCCTTTCTCTGAAGACTTCAAACGTAAGTCTCGAGCCGGCGGGCGAATATCTGCTATCCTCGCTGTCAATGGACCCAACCCGTAGAATAAGTCTAATTGATAATATTGAATTTGAGGATGCCTCCGCCGGACCTGTAATACCCTACTGACTAAAAACATCTACGTGCTAGCTATTAATGAAGTTGATCCCTGCCTTCCTATATATATCCTCTTCTGTGAAAGAGGTAACATTGCCCTTGTACACATAATCTTTCGGATGGCTTAGGCTAACATGTTATTCGGTCCTTGTTTCACGATCGGGTCGGGTGATGATGCAGTGGCGCTAACGGTGGTACATGGATGCTTGACCCGAATCACCCGAATGGCCCGAATGCATGCTTCGCAGAGCTTCTCAATTCAATTAGTATATATAACATGACGAGTCCGACCTAGAATTTAATTTCTCCCATCACTTTCATCTCCTTCAACACATCTTCCGTCTGCAAGAAAATTAATATCAGCAACAATGAGGGCCATACAAATTCTTGGTGACAAAGTCACCCCCCATATCGTCCTAAGCAACGATATCCCTAAGCCTGTCCCCGAGGGCCATGACATTCTCATCAAAGTTCACGCCGCCGGTATCACGGCAGACGAAATCGGTTGGGTAGAACTTCAAGACTCGTCTAGCAAGATCCCCGGCCACGACATCTCCGGTGTCGTGGAAGCCTTCGGTCCCGAGTACGACGGCAGCATCACAGCCGGTGACGAAGTATACGCCATGCTACGCGCCGAAATTGACCAAGGCGGACAGGCGGACTATGTACTCGCCAGGCCGGACGAAGTCGCTCTTAAACCCAAGTCCCTTTCGCATGCGGAGGCTGCCGCCCTTCCCATCCCCGTCTTGACGGCCTGGGAAGCCATCGCAACGCGTGCGAAATTGAAAACGGGCAGCAAAATCCTTATTACCGGCGCTTCTGGTGCCGTGGGAGTAATGCTCGTACAACTTGCACGTCTGCTCGCCGATGCCGAAATCATAGCATTGGCATCTCCCCGGAACCACGACCGATTGAAGACGCTTGGCGCCCACCAGGTAATCGACTACAACACACCCGATTGGGAACGAGGCGTGAAAGATGTCGATGCAGTCTTCGATACTGTCGGGGGATCCACTCTTTCCAAGACATGGGAGACTGTTAAGGAGGGCGGGTCTATCATCACCGTGGCAGACCCCGCGCCTCATTGGGCGTTTGGCAAAGGAAAGCCTTATGAGCTCGAGACGCACCCAAGGGTGCAGTACGTGTATTTTGTCGTCACAGCTGATGGGAAACCATTGGCCAAAGCAGCTTCCATGTTGGATAAAGGGGGCCTGAAGCCCATCGCCGTGAAGGGTTTTCCCGCCGAGCAAGGTGTTGAGGCATGGGCCTATGCGGCTCAGAGGGGGAGGAACGACAAGGCGGTTATCGAGTTTGTTTCTAACTAGTCATAAAGTCTGGCGCTTCATCGAGGATATTTGGAAGATTGAGTAGCAGCCCGTCAGGTATTATTGATGAGGCGGTACAAGCTGGCCTGGCCAATAACTTGATTTCTTGTGACCACTTCTTGGCTTGCGGCCAAATGTTCTCAAACTTTTTCAAGATTCCAAGAAAGACTCGGATACGGTCTTTGGTAGTAGAGTTCGTAAGCATCGCTGATCGGTTCTCAAGCGCAGACAGATATGTCACCGCCGCCATCGAGCCCATGCACATGACGAATGGGCTGTGAGCAGTCACCTTGGAAGCGATCGTAAGCATATCTATGCAGGCTCCTGCAGCTTGAATCGCCTTTTGGTCATGTCTATTGTAGTTTCGTTCCTCTTGGGCCAAGACTTCGGCTGGGAGGGGAGGTGCGTACTTGGAGCAGAGAATCTCCAAAGTGGTGTAGGTCAGCTGGGATCGAGGTCGGTGGAGGTGGATCGCTACACTAGACACATTATCAGTAGAGAAATCAAGGGAGTAGTCTCCTATCCTAAAACGGACTTACACGTTTATCATGAGGTGGGCACGAAATAGTATTTCGTCGATTGTTCCATCAGGGCGAACCGGATCATGCTTGTGCTGCGGCAAATGCAGATGCCAACTCATAATGTTCTCTTCCGCATTTTTCGCGAGGGACTCGGGCGACCCGCCGGCAATATCACCAGCTGCCAAGGTAACGCCCAGTATCCGGGCAGCATCCACCATGTAGGTAAAGGAGGAAAATGACTGGTCCTCGCCATCTTCGAAGCAACGGTCATCGTACTCTTGGATAGTGCGCGGTCGGGGCAAATCTCCCTGTAGAAGAAGTCAGCAAGCTCGCAATTCCATTCTATTGACAGAGAGCAACCATGTTTATAACGTTACGTACCCCGGCGATATAAAACTCTTCCTCGGCTGGCAGCGGGACATCCATACCCAGGTTCAAAAGGCTGAATGTGGGCCAATGTCGAATGCCTGCGAAGAGTGCGTCCACGACATATAACTCCCACCAAGTTCTCCGCCAGCTCTCTTCCAAAACAGAGTCGCTGTGCCCGCACTCCATGGCAAAGGTGGGCCGGTTCATGCCTAATTCGAGGGCAGTGGACTTTGCCCGTTCAAGTACGTTGCTCGCCATATCACCATCGCCCTTCCACTCCAAACACAGCGCCAAAAGTAAGAAAGCCTGTACACTGAACCCTGTCGACGGCAAGTCTTTATCTAGCACCTTCTCCGCATCTTCCTGGAGTCTCGACGATCGCACGTCTTGGATGTAGAGCGAGCCGATGAAAGCCATGACGGAAATGAGCTCGGGCACCGGATTTGTTATCGCATATCGTAGTAACGCCTCTTTCGGCAGAACGAAAGGGTGACCCGGAAAGAAGTAGGTGTAGAATCCATCGAGGCATTGACTTGCGAAACCACTATCGGTTGGGCCCTCACTTGCCAGTGTTCTGGGGGGCAGCAAATAATCTCCGGCACCATTCACGTCGAAGGTAGGATCCGGCTCGTGGGGCTGGCCACGGACTTCAATGCAGTCTGCATCAGTGCGGATAACTTCGTGCTCGATATTGCCTAGATCTTGATGGCCCGTTTCGGGTTGAGAAGCTGATGCCACACATTCCCTACGGGCGGCCTGTCTCGCCGGCCGTCGCCGTCGCCGTCTAATATCTACATAAACACAACGCTTGTTCAACGAAGTACATCGAGTGCAGGATGGCAAAGTAGCGTCGCAACGGAGATGTTGGTCCCGGCAGATCGTGCACGCAATCGAGACCCTGGGGCGACTCTTCTTTCCCGAACCATGCTTGGCGGCATTCGACCGTTCGTCCCTGAGCATATCAGCGACTGAGCCCCCATTATCATGAGCGCCAGCCATTGACGTATCCGAGGCCATGCGTCTCAAATACCCAGGTGGTGTGCTGTCGGGATCGGAAGGCGGGCGGAGAATGGCGGGGGCATCCAGAGAGAATGACGCGACGTGGCGCGGAGCCATGGGTGCAAGAAGATTCTCGCCGGTGCTACCCGCAGAACAGCGGGGTACCCACTTAGTTTACATAGTTGCCGGCTTACCCGATTAACCACCTACACTTTCTATTGCTCGTCCGCCGTACTTGTCGGACTATACGTGTGTAATTATTTTCTACGAACAGATTTACGTGATATTTCAAACTGAACAGACAATAAAAGTCTCCGAATCGTTTACTCTTCGCAGCAGGAGCGGTGGAACTAAATTGTCTACAACGAACCGGCTGGGCCTGGTGACATTAGCTAGACCTGTCGGTATCTGACAGCATTTGACCCCATTGTGGCCAAGAGTCTATGCCAGCGTCTATATCGAACAATTCCGGCCCGATGAAATTGGGATACTGAAATGAGAGGTCGGGCGGTAAGGATAGTTCTCCATCTACAAAGAAACCAACACTATTATCTCCTGCCACGGGATAGCTCGTAGTGAGTGGTGCAGTGGTGGCATGAAAATCGGGCCGAAGTCTGCTGAACTGGGCCGAAACGATGTCTCCTAACAGATGTGCGGCGTGGCCTCGCAGCCCGATTGATCTGAGCCAGTCGATGAGCTTCAGCACTAAGTCATCCAGACGAGCAGCATCGTAATCTCCCGCCGATAACTTCGGCTCGTAAGTCCGCACAATTTTGCAGAGTGTTAATGCCGCGAAAGTGACGATGTGGTAGATGTGATCCGTCAAATGTCTAGTGCGTTCGTCGGTCGTGTCAATAGCGAGGTTGATAATGGCTTCTGAAAGTCGGATCATCTCTCGGAGGATGGAGGAGTGTATAACTGATTTTGGCGCCTTGAGTGACTGATAGTTGGCGAGGAGATGGGCAAAATGAAATCCCATTTGAAGGAATTGAGACCGAGGTTCGTCTTTATGGGAAAATGTTAGGAGCCGAATCTCTCGAAGGCCCTTGAGGGGTATTGTGCCTACCAAACAAAGACGCCCATTCTTGCTGCCAGTCTCGGAGAGCGAGCTTCGTTTCAGAGAGCGTGACGGGGTGGCTACCGCATTTGTTATAGATGATCCAGTAGAGTTCAACCTCGGCAACCATCCTCGTCTCGTAGTTCGTAATTCCGTCAAGCTGGGTGAGGCGGAGGGAGCGATCAATTTGCACTTGATTTAGGAGTGCTTGTCGGCGCATTCCAACGCAATATCTAGGGCAAGAGTCAGAGAGCCATTCCTCCTCTGAGAAGTGCAATCCAGGCTACGTTACTGGAGGTGAGCCAAGCAGAGGTGATTCCACAAGCACCACGCATCAATATGTAGAGGGTTGAGTGGTATGAACGCCGAGTCAGATGGTAGAACAGCTTTGAAATATGGACTTGCAAGAGCCTGTTGAATGGCGTAGCCTGTCAATAACCAGCTATCAATGCTCAAGGGCACTTGGCCAACCGTGGTTGACCATAAACTTAATATAAGGGCAGCTTGGAAGAATTCGATGGTTTGTGGCGCTTCTAGCAACGAAGCCGCGACGAGAGATTTTGCCTCCTCAAATAGTTTTGGGGCAAGCTCGGCAGCGAGGTCTTGAGTCGTATGCCGCACCGCAATCAGGAAAACACTGCTGAGAAGTAACGGCGATTTCTTCACCTGAAGGAGGAGTACTTCTGTTGGTACTTCTTCAGGAAACCTGACCCATCGGCCATAGTAGACGTGGAATCTATTTACTGTCAGTAGGTTTCACGTTATATTTGAAAGGGATTTCTGCCTACAATGCGAGCAAAGACCTCGCCGTAGACGGCGTGATGAGGCCTGCGGAGATTACATCAGATCGAGACACAGGGTGGGTACTCTGTTCCGGCGAGCGTACTCCGGCATCCTCAGCAGCATCTCGGATCAAGAACACTGGGGCGGGAGCTGAATCCACGTCCTGGGCAGCCTCGGATTCAAGAGAGCCCACAGACCGAGGCAGACTGCGTGCTTCGCGCAACGGAGCGGTAAGTTCATTAAGCCTAGTATCAATCCGGTCAACTAATGATCCCACAGTTCTCTCAAGTCGCTCTAATCTGTATTCGTTTCCCGAATTAGTCTTGTCCTTTTGCGCCCATTGGGAGGACAGATTTAAGTGCACCTGTCTTCAAGAGAGGTCCGCCGTCCCCAGTTCTCCGAGGTTACAGCCGCGCCGCGTCCACTATGATACCCCGACGGTGACCGCGAGCGACGATAAACGTTGTGGGATTCCAAAGAACATGTTTGCCGCAAGGTCCTACATCGAAGGCACGCGCCCCTCGAATTATCCGACGCATAGCATCGGGTTTTGTATTTGCGACAAAGATCACAAGCTTTCGACGCTCGGCCAGATCGAAGAGGTGGCATACTTAAAAATCGAGCATTTTCATCGTCTACTTTTAATATGCGCTGTATGCTCTAGATATGAAATCGATCAACAAGGAGTGAATGGCGAGCTTCTCGGAACGATGTCGTGCTTTGGATCACGTGGCTCCTTGAGTTTAGCACAGTTCGCCTCCGACTCTGGGCAGAAGGATATTGAGATTGGGAGGGCACTGGGCAGCTCGAGGGGCCGGGATACGGAACAGTATTAGTGAAGTTATAGACGCTAACGAACGGACAATGTAGACTAATAATAGCGGTAATTTTTGGGAACAAGAATTGAGCGGGCATAGTCTCCTTTATAGCTAGGGTCTTGGCCCCCCCGGTTTCCCTGCCTCTACTATTGAAAGAACCCGAAGTAAGAAAGGCACTAAAGATAACAGCAAAGATGCTAAAGATAACGGTACAGATACTAAAGATAAGAACAAAGACAGACTTAGATAAGAAACATGTCCCGGGCTATTTCAGGCTCCTCTCCTCCGCCAGCGCAATCCGGAACTTGGATTCGACACCAGCGTCACCATGATCGAACAGCCGGTACAAAAGCTTCCAGATCAGGATGATGGCTGTCGCGGCAATAGCACAGGAGGCTGCAATTATCAATCCACGGGTATATCGGGGCGCATCTGTGCAGAAGAGGAATCAGTTCCCAGGACTTCATGGATAGAGAAAGGAGGTAATATTTAAACCAGTGGTACAATACCTTGGGAGCGGAATAGCTGATTTCCAGGAAAGTTGGCTAGCTGGATGCTCATCACATATGCTGCCAGAGCTACGGGGCGCTTATAATCCTGCATCTTCGCCGTCAGCCACGCGGCGCTGATTGCCTGGGCGCTCCCCATGCCCATTTGAGTCCAGACAACTCCTCCTGAATACCCGAAAGAAAGTGATGTTAGTATTTCTAGTCTCTCGCCAACAGTAGATTTGAGGGTAACGTACCGTAAAGGGTCCATTTACCAACACCCTCAGGTGCCAATGCCAGCCAGAGCAGCCCGGCAGCTCCCCACAAATACCCAACGGCGATGTGGAACCCACGCTCGCGAAACTTATCACTACTAAATGCAAGAGACACGGACCACACCAACGCACAAACGCTACCGACAGAGTTGAGCCCATTCGCTTGAAGGGCCGTGAACCCCAAGGACTTTATTATGGAGGGCGCGTAGGTATTCATCGGTGCAATCATGACCATTGACAGTAAAGCCGCCGCAAGATATCCGTATAGTCTCCAATCTGTAAACGTTTCTAGTATGTGGGAAAGCAGGACGGGCTTTCCGTATCGGAGGGCTTTCGTGGGATCGTTGCGGATGACGCGAGTGACCAGAATGGAAGCTTCACGCTCGGTAAAGATGTTGAAGATTGTTTTGCCGAAGAAGGACTTTGCTTTTGCGGCACCGTGAGGGAGGTACAGGTAAGCGACGATGCCGAGAAAGCAGGTCATGATGCCCTCTGTAATAGTATGTTGTTAGTTGCAAGTGGGATGAATTCAGAGGCCTTGGGTCCCATCTCAAACTCACCAATTAGGAACAGCCATTGCCAACCATGGAGCCCTCCTTTCCCTCGAAGAGACAGCAAGCCAATAGACAAAGGTCCGCCTAGGGCACCCGCAACACTATTCGAGGCCCAGAAGATGGCGTATCGGAGTGCAAGCTCGTCGTTGGTATAGTACTTCGAAATATACAGAGCAAACCCCGGGATGTATCCGCCCTCGAGAGTTCCGATAAAGAAGCGAGCCACGCAGAGACCAGTTGCATTCTTTAGGAAAATCTGAGCCCACGTTGCAACGCCCCAGAGGAACATTGTAATTGGGAGAAATCTCTCGGGGCCCATGTATCTACTGATCATGTTAAAGGGCAACTCGGTTATGATGAAGCCCACTGTGAAGAGGGTCTGGGCCAAGTTGATATCCGAGTTCCCGATCCTAATATCCTCTCGAAGAGTGTCGGTTAAGGCATTGCCGATATTGGCACGGTCGAACTGGAGAAGACAAAAACAGAGGACGATGAATGGCAGGATAAGAAAGTCCACCTTCAGCAAGGCTTTCCTTGTTTCGCCGGATTGGGCATTGATAGTTGGGTCATAGCCTGGGACGTTAATGGCTTCGTCTGAGATAAACTCGTCATACTGATCAGATGTGTGAATCTGAGTAGCATTGCTGTGTTTTTCATGGTGGTAAGCCATGTTGAAAAGATGAGGATACGGCGAGATTTGGCTGTTCTGCGCGGATATTGAGTGATACTCTGTCCTTGCGGCCTTCATCCATATCTGTCGTCGATCCGGTCCAGAGGCGGGCTTTATAACTCACGTGGCGGCAAGGGAAGATCGAGATATCCGAACAATGAATCCGTGAATTATTGAAGATCTCATGGGCACGATGATGGCGTGCTGGATGTCATACACCTATCGAACGGCCGGACTGGGAGATGATGCCGGCAGCGATCAGAGCGTGCCGGCGGAATCTCGACCAAGCCGGCGGCATGCCGGCGGCAAAGCGGCGGGTAACCGACGGTATCGACAACTCCGGAAAATGTAGCCAATAATTGATTTGGCCTTTTTTCTATTCCTAGTCGAATCAATAACTTACTGCTCTCGAAAATATATGTGCGACGAGGTATGTAAAGTATAGGAGAAGACGCATTGAGCAATCCCTCTCGAGTATCCAGCCTTTCAACCACGATCATCTGTTTTCATCAAAAGCCAACTCGAAGTACTGGTCACTAAAACATTCTCTTGAATCAATTTAAACCCTCTTTCTTTCAACCAATGGAACAAAACACATTGAAGAGGCGAGGCGTTGGCCTGACTGGAGTCGATAAGCAAAGGTCTTTCGGCGGCTATACCCTCTTCTGTCCCTTGACCAGCGACACGGCACTTCTGATTGACATTGACGGAAACGAAGTCCATTCGTGGAAGCTTCCGGGTAGAACTGGTCGACACGCAACAATCCTCCCCAATGGCAACCTTTCGGTCAATACACTTCGACCTGCCTCGCAGGACTTTGGCCCCTATCCCTTTCCCTTCTTCCACAAGTACGGTGGAGGCGTCATGAGCGAGCTTGACCCAGACGGGAATATTATCCGACAGTTCACTGATCCCTTGGCGCATCATGATCAATATCATTACGGAGATGGTAGACTCTTGTATGCTAGTCTCGAGGCTCTATCCCAGGAAGAGTCGGCCAAAGTCATCGGAGGAGTTCCCGGAACTGAAGTAAACGGAGTCACTTACGCGGACACAATTAACGAAGTCGACGAGAATGGAAATCTGCTCTGGCAGTGGAGGGTATCGGAGAGATTGCCCCGGGCCGAGTTTCCCTTGCAACCTCACTACACTCGCGAACATTACCCCCTCATCAACTCAGTTCTTCCCACCCGCGACGGAAACCACGTCATCGCATCTATGCGGTCGGTTTCGGCCGTCGTCATCATCGAGAAGTCTACCGGAGACATCGTATGGAAACTCGGCCCCGAAGTCCTCGCTCAACAGCACAACGCCACGGAGCTCGAGAATGGGAATATTCTCATTTTCGACAATGGCGCTTTCCGGAACGGCGAATCCATAACATATACCCGTGCCATCGAGGTGGACAGAACGACCAAGGAAATTGTCTGGGAGTACCGAGACCGGTCGCAGATGCTCTATTTCTTCACACCGTTCATGGGCAGCGCCCAGAGACTGGAAAATGGCAACACTTTGTTGTGCGAAAGTGCCTTCGGAAGGCTGTTTGAAGTGACGACGGACGGGTACATCTGTTGGGAGTATATCAATCCTTATTTCGCACCCTATCCGGATGAAGCGACAGCCAAGATATTCCCAGGAGAGTCGAATGCTTTGTTTAGGGCGTATCGGTACTCGTTGGAAGAGATTCCTTGGCTACGGGAAAAGCTTGCGGGTCCAGGAGTGGGGGAATAATGGCCACCAAGGCCGCAAAACTCGGCACTTTAGGGAATGCACCTTCATGTAGGAATATAAACCTCTCCCAAATCTGGTCATCGTTGAGTTTTCACTTCCTTTTTCAGAACTAAGCATTGCCTCGGCGGGGGCAAGCAAAGTGAGTGAGGTGAGTAATGGTGAATGTCTCCGCGACTACAGCCGACCAAACAACCATTGTTTGGCCCGATCATCTGGCTGATAAACCGACTCGACGGCTTCACTGCATCGCTCAACCCTGTTACCTCCTAACAAGCGAATCTACGTGCTCCCTCCCACCTCCCACCCAATCATCCCAACACAGACTCAACATAGCAGTATGCCTTCCTGGGCCCAATTCTCTTCCATCCAACCCCAATCTCGGCAAGCCCTCCCTCTCCAGCCCGGCCCCCTCACTCGCTCTCTTTCCTATGGGAAGCACCTGTTGCCACCTGATCACTCCCTCCAACTGAAACCCCAGCCTCTTCGCCGCATTGACGCTTGCAACATTGCTCGCGTTCGCCTGCCACTGCACCCTCCTAAGCCCCAACCCCCCATCCTCGACGCTGTCCAAGCAGTAATGCAATAATAAAGCGTTGGCGTGCGTGCCCACAAACGTCCGTTGGAATCTACTAATCAGCAACTGCCCGAGATCAACGGTGGCACGCTCGGGCTGGCTGACCAAACCGCAGAGACCCGCGAAAGTGCCGTCGGTGACTTCAATGGCAGTCATCTCGCCAGTGCCTGAGTCCTTGCGAGTGACGGTACCGGCCTTCAGGATGATGGCTAAGAGCAGCTCGCTGGTATTATTGCGGGAGGTCTCGTTGTACCAGCATATGTATTCAGCGGCGTCAGCGAAGGGACCGTAAGTAAGCCAGTCGTATACGTGTGGGTTGCGGTTTGCATCTTGGACGTAGGCCCCGGCCCATTCCTCGAGGTTGTCCTAGAATGGGTGTGAGTTCTCGTTGTAGTTTATCCGGGTATATTGGTTTCCTGAAGCGCACCTCTAGAGGAACTAGCTTGAGTCGATCATTCTGTAGACGCTCCAGGTCAATGGGCAGGTTGAAATTCGAAGTCATGGTTCGGGGCTAGTTGTCCTGGTCAGTGCCCATGGAGTGGCCTGAAAGAAACCAACGTGCATGCGTCAAGCCCAGCATCGCACCAGCAACCACGAACACGCTTCACGCTATTTCAGACATAGCTAAGGCCCGCCAGCGTGCCATTCCGTCCCGATGAAAGGCTCCGTATGGTGAGCAACTGATTGCCCTGGCGGTTCAAGAGTCAAGACTTACATGAAAAAAAAAACAGTCGCAGGGCCCAGTTTTGTGATTGAGTGTGTGCTTTCGACGTTGGGTATTTTGATTTCGGCAGAGGTGGATTCTCAAGCTTCTTCTTGCGAAAGATAGCAGAGGGAGCCTTCTGAATGAACCTGTTCCATGACGACCAGGGGATAAATTACCAACATCAACGCAACTCTCCATGAAGATAATGTCACGTGAGACAAACAACAAGAGGACCATCTGGCCCAACGCAAGGACGGTTGCAACTTTCGAAAATAAAGGCAGGTTCCACGATTGTTCCGAGTCAAGTTGCACCTATCACACCTTTTCTTGTAGCCTGGCTAAGTTCGCGTGGGTGATATATGCACTTGTGCCTTAAGTGAGACATTATCCAGGAGAAACGAGGGAGCAGCGTAACTTCTACCAGCGAAAGTTATATCACGGCAATCTCAAATTTCCATTCCAGTATGATCGAGAAAGGAATCGATTTTCCGAAACGAGGATAACGGATCGCGATATTATTATCTATAATGTTATTATCTAACTGTTAATAGCCCTATCTATGCTGAGTACAATGCGTCAACGAAACGGAACCATCAAGTTTCGTCTCCTCGTCCTGGGTCGGCTCTCTGCCTCTTCTAACCGGGTGTTGGAAGTATCCACCTCTATCTTCTATTCCTGCAATCTATGACAGGCGGCTATGGGAGCGTTGAATGGATATTGCCGTAGCGAAGGCATTACCTTTGCTGCTCTTTACGTTTTTGGATATTTTGGAGACACGGTGCATGGAAAATCTCCCCGGTCACTGCCAACTGAGTGGTCCTGATGGCCACCAAGAGCCAGAAAGACACCACCAGCAGGGAAAGGATCTTGACGAAGAGTTAGCATCATTTCCCCACAGCCAATAACTAGGATGAGTAGAACTAACCGCAGTAGTTATCTTGAAAAAGCCACTGTCAAGATTCTTCGCCAGCGACCCGGTGCATGTTGCCAAGACGCCGAGGGGAAAGGTAAATCCCCACCAGCCCATGTTGAACGGAAACTTCTTCATCGTGGCTATTGTAATAAAGGCAAGCGTCATCCAAGCCACGCCAAAGCCCCACATCATGACAGCTAAGAAGACTCCGCAGGTGTATAGAGTTTCTGCTGCTCGAGCTGCGCCATTGTCAATGACCCCAAAGGTAGTGGTCCCAGGAAGTACCTTGGCTGCTACCTTTCCCAGCTCCTGAATACCGAAGCCACCTTGGCCCAATGGACCGATTGGGAGAAAGACAGACACAACGACTTCCTTCGGGGGGATTGAGTGTACCGTCAGCCTGTGGAAATACAAGGCCAGAACGCAGCCGGTAAAGAATTCGCCGATTCCCCAGAGGATGTAGGAGGTGATGAGGGTCATGATGGCATGATCGGTACTTGGGAGGACTTCGGCCACGATACCACCCGAGGCAGATGCGACAATGGAAGGGACAATCGGAAGAAGAAGCGCAGCAGTGATGTTCTCGAGATTTGGCCGATGACGGTGCATGACGATGAATGGCATGCTGATGCAAGTGGCAAGCGACAACCATACATCAACCCACCAGAGCACCCAGGCGGTGTAGATAAGCCACTCTCCCCAGTGCGAGCAAGCAAGGACCATCATGTTGATGATGGCTGCCGTTCGGTCAGCCGAGCTGGTTTGGCATCAAGAATGAACTCGAAACCGAAGATAAGAAGGAAAAGGGAAAAAAAAAAAAAAAAAAAAAAGAAAAAAGAAAAAAGAAAAAAGAAAAAAGAAAAAACTCACTCGCAAAGGCCATGGGGAAACATCCCAGGAACAGAGACTGAGCCGGGTGCGCAATCATCACGCACCAGATTTCGGGGTACACAACATAGCGTATTACCGTCAATGCTAGGAAGATGGTGAACAGTAAGACGTTGAGACCGAAACAAATATACGAGATGTACCGCAGCCATTGGGCATTATACGGGAACTCGTGCAAAAGAATCGATGTGATTCCGGTCCCCATGTTCACAGCAAACCATCTGCAAGTTCAACGGCGTGCTATTAGAAAACGGTTCCCTCTAGAAACAACAGAGCTATACGTACGACGGTGTGAAATTCCGTACAATCTTCCGCCAGCCTATGCTTTGCTTGCAGGGCTTGGTTTCTCCTTGATACGCGGCATCCGGGCAACATGGCGTCTTCCCGTGGGCAACGCAAGGCTGCGTTAATATAGTTGACATTGCAAATGTAACTGATGCATGCGTCCTTCAGGTCCAGAGTCTTGGGTGTTGAGATCAGTAATCACGAAATCCGTCCAGCAACGTCACCTTGACCCTTTTATGATCCTTGTTTAGCTCGTACGGGCCAACTTTGTTCCGGCGGTTGGTGGTGCCGAGCGGATCATCGGGATGCAAAGAAATGAGCTAACTCGGCACGCTAAACCAAGAACGACTAGGCTCACGCGATTCAAGAAGAAATATGGGTCATTGAATGGACGTCTGACCAGAAATCAGGAGGAAAAGGCGAGCTGCCTGTTGTGGTTGACTCACCGATGGCTCCCGCTGGTCTCCGCCATCAACAGTTTTTTTATCTTCAGCGAGTAAAATGGAGATTTCAGGATCCAGCATGTGCATCAAGATGAAGAACAAGACGATGAAGATGCCAATTTACCCTCTTCCCGGTCACTTTAACTTTTACTCATCCGCCATGTCATCAAGCAAAGAAACGGACAAACTCTCGGTGGAGAAGGAGCAACATGCAACTTCTTGATAGACATAGCCGCCGTCGCCATCCTTTCTTTCTGAGAAAGGCGCCGGTATCCACGCTCCCAGCTCAAGGGCAAGAACTTGTGCTGTTCCTCCATAGCCTCTTAGAGTTAGTGTTTGCAGTCTATTAATCTGGTGTTGTTATCGATCTGTTGATAATAAGTGACTCTTCTGCATGTTGAAACCACGGGCGCACGAAGGGAGGGTTTATCGGCACTTCCAATGTATCCCCGGGCTATCCCGCCGTGGAACCAAATACTGCCGGAAATTTAATTCTGGTGGCTCATTGGAGATATAGATAATCAATCAATCTACACCAACTCGGGTAAATGGGAGTAGCCACTCATGACAACCCATTCACATCTTTTACTCTAAAAGGCTAATGTGATGCGTCGTGGGGTAGGAGATCAGCCTCTTCCACCACCAGAATGCTGTAGGCTTTCGTGGATGGCTATATATTCCTAGGCAAATGCATGCTACCGACGCACCTCATCATCTGCCAGAACTCGCGTTTACCGGGTTTCTGGAACGTCCATGACTTCCGGAACAGGAAACGGACTTGTTTGCTCCGCGGTCTTCGAAGCCTCAGTTCAGATCCACTCCTGTGGTCAGAAAATTGGCATGGAGAAAAGGAAAACAACACAAACAACACAATAGAATGCTGGAATAGACTTGTCCACAAAGTGAAATATATAGAGGTGGATCTCCTCTTACTTCTCTACTGGAAACTTCCCTTTTCCTACATCTACGCTTGCGCAAAACGTTGCGATTTCAAGCCCTCTATCAACCTCATACGTTGCCCACGCCGCGCGTTGTCATCCGAATCCATTCAGTCTAGCACGATGAAGATCTCGACACTCTGTCTGGTCGCCGGCCTCAGTCACCTAGCCTATGCACATACAATCTTTTGTCAGCTAGAATCCGAGGGCACAACCTACCGTAGGAATAATTTCTTCTAACCCCTGGGAGCCAACCCATTACTTACCGTTACAATAGCTGTCGGCCATGGAATCCGCGTCCCGACTTACGACGGTGTATGACTCCTTTGTTTCGATTCTATTTTGGATTCTAAAGACACTCATGCCTAGATTAGCCCCAAACCAACGTCGGCGCAGCGACCATGGCATGCAACGGACCACCAAACCCCACGCGTCCTTCGGATAAGATCATCCCTGTCAAAGCTGGTAGCAATGTCACTGCCATTTGGAGACATACTTTGGAATGTGAGGAAGTGATACTGGGTATTTCTGACTTCTTTTTCGCTCTTGACTGACGGCATGTCCAGCTGGACCTGCCGACGTGATGGACCCCGGCCACAAGGTTCGCACAATCTCACTAAATCACTTGGTCACATCTCAAGCTCATATTAATTGCTGTAGGGCCCGACGATGGCATATTTGCGAAAGGTTTCCGATGCAAAGACTGACACTGGCGTCGGTGACGGCTGGCATGTCTCCCTATTCGCTCTAGTTGCTAAGTCGTAGTACGAAACTGACGCTTCTTATTGGAATAGGTTCAAGATTTCTGGTATTGGCTACAACTCCGGGACTTGGGGAACAGACATCGTGATCAACAACCAAGGCAAGCAGGTGATCCATATCCCTGAATGTCTTGAAGACGGGCAATACCTTCTCAGAGCCGAGATGCTCGCCCTGCATGGAGCTCGGTCTCCGAGCGGCGCACAGTTTTACGTGAGTCCGTCGATAAATGACGATCCTTTAGTTTGTGACGGGCAGCGGAAGCTAATCAGCACCTGCGGAACACTAGATGGAATGTGCCCAGATTGAGGTAACGGGCGGCACGGGCACCGCAAAGCCTCAGACTTACAGCATCCCCGGAATATACAAGGTATTGTCAATGATCTTTCTCAATAGCTTCAGGGCCGTTCTGTTGCAGTTCTAATGAGGAGTCAGGCCAACGACCCTGGCGTCATGATCGACATTTACAACACCAACTTGAATCAAAAAGCGTACACTGTTCCTGGTAAGTCTTTGTTCTCTATGAATCAATTGAAAAACTGTTTGCTAACCATATCACAGGACCGGATGCCTTCACCTGCTAGAGTGAGCATGTCGACTCGGGAAAGCGAAACATAGATAGCAGCTATCCTCACCACGCACCAACTGTGCGAGGCTTTCATGCAGGAATTCTAACTCGGCAGACAATCAGGGTGGTTAAGTAGGCACTGACGTTTGTTCGGCTGGGGAAGTTGGATGAGGTCTCTCAAATGATGGTTTGCCCTCGGTTGATGGTCTAGCGCTGTCCATGGATTACTGTTCTCCAGCATTTGATATAACTAGCGCGATCATGACAAACACCGACATCATTTCCGTGGAGAATGATCCCGTTTACATAGTTCATATGGTTGTCATCATGGTAAACGTTATACTCCTGTAAAGTCCGGGCTACCCAAAGCACCAGGAAGCCCCGCACACAAAGAAAGCATCTGCAACATTTTATCGGAATTCCACCCCGAGGTTGATATGAACTAGAACATGTAATCTTCCAACCCTACGTGAATGAATGAGGACAAGGACTTCAGACGCAGATACCCTATTTCAAGTTCGGCCAAAAGCTCAGCCAACATTAGATTCCCGTACTAGCCGCGGACACACTTCCCTTCCTGGGGTCTACGCTGGGCATCGAAATTGGGCAGAAGAGGTTGGCCTCCCGCATCTCAACATTTTCATCCCCACTCCGACCTGACGTGTTTATTGTCTTTCGCGAGCGCTATTGGTGTTATTCACGGAGACGATATGGAGAAAAACATCTGCTGTAGGGATCCCACGCCTGAAATTGCTGCAAGAGGCGGAAGGTGGCGCTGGTGCCCGAGGAACATCGCAAATATTGGTCACTCTGCCTTGTTTTGGCTATGTTGTCGATCGGCCATTTTTCTCTCTCATTTTTTTCCCCCATCCTTTTCATAATGCTTGAAGTCGCTCGATTCTTCGCTCCGCCCACGGAAGGTGTTTCGTTCCGGTCTCCGCGTGTTCGATACCGACATCGACCCCTAACTTAACTACCATGCTGTTTGTTGCCGAGTATGAATTTACGAGAGTTGTAACTGCCTTTCAAACTAGCAAAGCTAAGTAGGTGCCGTTGGAGGCTCACGGCGACCCGCCGACCTAGGATCGAGGATAGACGAGCTTTCACCAAGGGGCTGGCGCCCGCATGTGCTAAATGCTAGGCGGGATTCGAGCTAGCAAACCTGCCTGACACTCTAGTTCGAAGAACTGGCGGTCAAGCTCCTCTGTGCAAGTAGCCGGGTGAACCTCCCCCCCAACCCCCCAAGTCGCGATGCCAACAAGGTGCATGCGAGAGCCTGAAGCGGCATACAATGGCAGATAATCTAGCCAATGACACCCCCCGATGGCAGGCAAGCCCATCACGCCCGCTGGTCATTTGCTTCCAAAGTTGAGTGGTCACTGGTGGTGCAGGTATGTGGCGTGATGACTCCAAAAGTTGTCGAGATATCCCTCTTTTGTCAACTCGCATCATTTGAGCCACAACTGGGAGCGTGTCGAATGGATAACTAGCAGGAGACTCCAATAAAACGGAGACCGAAGCGTATCTAGAGGGGGTCAACTTGAGCTCATACCCCCATCACACCTTCAGCTGAACACGACTCAGGGAACGACGAGTTACAACGCCATAGTACAACAATGTAAGAAGGCATAAAGGTAAAGCTTTATGACACGGATCATCTTCCATGATGCCGTGCCCCACTGCTGGCATTTCGTACTGTACAGTACACGGTCCCTCCATTTATTAACATGAATCCGTTGCACGTCGTCTAGGTCGGATTGGCACCTCGCTGCAGATTAGAGTAGTCTCACAACAAGTCCGTGCAGTGGAGCCAGTCTCCTGCGAGTGACTGCTGTTGTGTAACTTAAAATCGCTGATTGGGCGAGAAGGAAGCCCAAAGGAAATGAGAAGAGGAAACGGGGACCGGAAGGGCTTCAATACCTAAAGCGTTTGGGTCCCCCCCTCTTAGGCCCAACTCTGATTTCACCCCGACTCTCTCATCACCACCAGTTCTGATCGACGAGAGTTGCAGCAACCGATCCTTACCAAAGCCTCTAGTCCTACCACGACTACACAATGGCAAGAAAGAAATCCTCCAAAAGAAAGAAGAACACATCTGAGGCAATCTCCTCGTTCATATATCCGACACTCCACCACAGCGTCTGCGACGCAGTCTCAGGCTCGATGCCCATACCCTGGTTCAACGAAATACCCGACGACAAAACGTACGACAACGAATACTCGACCAACATCATGGGAAGATTCCAATGCATCAACAATAACTGCTCCGGAACTGGCTGGCGTAGTAAGATGATAGGGATTGTGATTAGAGGGTACACCGACAACGGGTACAACGCCGTTGTATTCAACCAGCGGTGCAAGTCATGCAACTGGCTCGGCTGGCCGACACTTGACAAAGAGTCGTATGTCGATAGGGTTGCCTATCGGCTGAAAAAATGGGCGGGCGTCCAGGTCGAGCGGCCCTTCTACCACGAAAAGCCTGGCCTGCCTCATGAAGAAGACTTTTGCGAAGGGTGCAGGCGCGGCTACTGTCGGCGAGGGGGTTCTCGGGGGCGTTGCTGATGACAAGCGGCACTTCCAGAGACTCTCGGTAGCATAGCTTCGGAGAACATGGGCTTAATACCTTTTTTTGGGCAGTCTTACACGCCGGCACTCCCGCTGTACGATATCTCCGCTCCAATGTCGGACTAAATTATTACGTTAATTACATCACTTGGTATTACTTGGTGCAATCTTCTACATCCTTACCTAGTTCAACTCCGGCCCATAATGGCTCTCATCGGTCTCCTTCTAGGACATGGAACATCGGAACCCGCCCGCCCGGCACCACCCTGCCGCTCGGCTGGTCGGGCCACTGTCCAGTGGCTACGAAGCGAGGAGCAGTCGTATTATTCGATAATCAACAACATTGAAATTCCCACCAGCAGGGTAGGATCTCTTCCAGGTATTCATTCTATTTTCAATGGGAAACGCCCTCTCCATCTCCGTCATCTTATCTCCTTCTCAGTCACAAGCCAGCGAAAACTTGCTCTCACAGTGTTAGCAATGACAGATAGTGCGATGTCAAAGCCCTGCCAGTGTCAAACCACGTTAAACCAAGGCCGCACTACGCTCTTTGCGGAAGATATATCCTTCACGGTGAGCGATGCACCGCGCGTAAGTACCTTCAGAAGCAGACACCCGGCGATAATGGGTTAACATTGGTCTGCCTTCCAGTCTGACTGTCGCAGTGGTAGGAAATATGGAGTCTACCACCTTCCGCACTAGTACGGCGAGGTTCAAATTTCCCGAATATGGCGAAGACACCCGACCCCTGAACGGCAGATCTCTATGTCGACGTTCTGGTTGTAGAAGGCATGGTAAGTCGGTCGAAACCCCGACCGTACACTTGGATTGTCTCGCCGTTATTTGCTGCCGATATAAAATCTCGTCAGATGATGCCCTATGGGTTTACACTACGTGGCGAACCCCATGGAAATTAACCCCCAGCTCCTGGCTGGATGTAGGGGATATCATGCCGGATTTCTTCTCGGCCGACAGCCTTGGTATCGAGCGCATGAGGTTGCTGCCTCCGGAGCTGGTTCGCATGATCTACGAGTACTCGTCCACAAGCGCATTTTGGCGTTGCAGTGCGGCGGTCGGTAATGTCGCTCGAATCTTATATTCCCTTGGCCAGATGACCTCTTAGTTCCTTTGTCCACGATCTCGACATAGCAACGTGAATGTCCGCCTGTAGTCGAGGAAACTTCTAGTCTCCTCCCAGTCATGCATTTGACACTTGACACCTACGGGATAAGGCAGATTGAGAGGCTTTCGATGGAACCTCAATTTGATCAACATCAAACCGACCGCCTCGCGTTCACCATCCTGGAAGACATGCCAGGTGCTACTGCACTCTTCAAAGTAGTCAACCCCATCATATTAACATACGATATGCGTTCTGACTTTGTCTTAGTTCGGGACTTTACAATTAGAGCTGCCGCCGAGATGCAACTGGCTATCAATATGGAACACACCTTCGCCTCCCAAGTAGTGTCTCTTGTCTACATACTCCATCCAGACGAGATATTTCCGTACAATTGAGCTCCGCCGCACGACCGGATTCACTTTCTTCTTCTTTGTGGGCAAGATCTACGGCCTCCACGCTCATGCAGACACTGCTCCATGTGGTACGACAACGTACTCTCAACTCCGCCGTCAACATCAACAACTTGCTCTTTGGGTGTATGTGCCCACGCCACCCATTGGTCCCATCATTGCTGTTGGTATCCCAAACATGCAACCCAATCCGTACCAATATAACATGTGCCTGTTTGTAAGTTTCCTCGATTGACTGCAACCAGGCTGCTTTTAGAGGGCACCCAATCTAATCCTATTTAGTTTCGCTTCAGACTTGCCGGCGATGTCTTCATCGGTTTCGGCCCTGCACAGAAAACCAAAGAGAACATCAAATTTCAAGTGAGGTCGTCACCATCCGCATTGATCCACCATGTAACCGAGGTGTGGCCCGTCTGCGCAATCGGAGCGTACAGTGAAAGTAATGACGGCAGAGCAAACAACCTAATGCCACTCCCACCTCATTTCGGATATAAGCAGAAGCCATTTTTTGCTGCATGCTCCTCCTCGGCCCCTCTGGAGAACGTCCACAGTGCCGGCGCCTACTATGATGATCAAACCGGATTCTATATGGGCATCCTGCTAGAGTACGAGAACGGATCGCAGCGGACGGTTGGCCAGTGCTGAATAAACGTTCATCCTGTCGAGCGTTGTACCAAGCCAATGCGTATTTGTCGCCTTATCAAAGTTTACTCGCTGCCTGGGTGTGTCGGGAAATTTGCAGCAACAGCAGTCGAGATCACAAGTAGTATTAGATGTGAACACAGCAGAGAGCGGGATGACTGGACTTCCCGCAACCACGTCAAATCGGATGGAGCTCTCTGACGCTTGTTCCATTCGGCTACCATTCTAAACATCCCCTGGCCGAAGCACTAGGTCCTCGTGGGGGGTGTTTCAGAA